ATACTTTAACTCCGAGAAAATACTTTAACTAACTTCAAAACGCTCTGAGTCACTCCAAGACAGAATAGTAACTTTAAGACACTTCAATCCATTCAATACTATAGGTGACTAAGTGACTAGTAGACACTTCGTCAAGGTTAAGCACAAAAGCCTTTAATTGGGGCACTAGAATATGGACTAGTAGGTCACAATCGTGGGGATGGCTTGCCTGCTTGCGAGGCCGCTGTGGTAGTACGAGTTGCTGTGCTCATAGACTGGACATCTTGGGCTGGCTGACTCATACTTCCTTTTTCAGTTTGATACGTGTCTTTCCTTCCTTCCACCATCATGTACTCCGTTTTGCTGCCATTCTCCTTTACAGATTCATATTTTCTTCAATGCATCACTGTGTAGCTCTGGGATCAACGAGCACGCATTCCTCATACTTCTGCCTTTGGGCATCAATGCTCAAGACCAAGACACCAACGTTGAGGTAGCTCGCCTCACCAACAAAAGAGCTGTTTCGAATGCTGGCAGAAAGATTGGTACTGGTTGTATGAACGTTGTATAGATATATTAGTTCGTTTTGTCTTAATTTTCCATTTCTGATTTCCTTTCTTTGAGTTTCATCATCAATCCCCTCCCTACCCCATCCAATGTGAAGACCAATGCCAATGGCGGATGACATCACCTCAGAGTGCACTGGAAATCGAGAAACGATGGCATGGGCCACCGTTCATATGCTGAGCGGGGCAGCACCTCTTCCTATGCTGTAGTTGCGCGTATCCCAGGTGGTTTAGTCTTGCTTGCAGTCGAGGTAACTGAGCTAGGTATTCACTTTCTTCTGACACATTTTGTTATAGAATATATCTACATACACGAATCTATCAATTACGGGCTCTGGCGATGTGAGAGAATGTGTGCGGCTACCCCCTCTTCCACATTTGTATCCAATTGACATGGAAATTTGATTTTTACCTTTCTTGCCTTACACCACGAGCACTGAGCCATCGAGCGAGCCCCTGAGCCTTCAGAATTGAGCCCAGTAAGTGGTCTCCTTGTTCCTCATACTGATTTACTATTTAGATACTTCTCGTATCAATAAACATGCCAATTCTCATCCACACCCGGCTGATTCACAAGCAACTCATGACCTCACATAACTGTCTATGTCCGCTTCGACATATACTGCAACAGTGGAGCCCACCGCAAGGGTTTTGAGTTGGCTACTTGCAGCAAACTCGAGCTGAGTGTTTCTGTTTCTCTAATTCAACTTTTTGACCACTAGAGCCCCTGACCCTGATAAGCCATTCCCCCACCGATTTTTGAGCACGATGATGACCAACCAGTTCACCACACTTCTCTACCCCATGCCCATCCCTGGCACTGTGAATGCGCCTCGTTTTAATGGCCGTTTCATGAAGGATTACCTCAGTTTGATTGTACAACACGGAGCCAGCGCTGGTATCAATGATAAGGACAATCTCGTCGACTACATCTACCGATACTCATCCGACGAGGTCAAGGAAGTCATACGCTACATACCCGAGCTTGATATAGACGAGACAGGTAAGACTTGGACTGCAGCCGAGACTAAGCTGTTACAGCTGTATCATGCATTCGATGAGCCTCCCGAAATTTCGCTGGATGCCTTGACGGACTTCTGCAAACATCAATCCGCTAAGTCTTCATTCACTAGTACTATTGAAGTAGAGACTTACCAACATGAGTTTACGAAGATCGCTGCGCCACTCCTCAAGAAGAAGACTATCAAAAAAGTAGACCATGATTTCTACTTCATGAATGGCATTCCCACTTCGATGAAGGAATGGTTCTATAGCCAGGTTCCTGTTGCAAACCACAAATGATCCGCTCCGCCATCGATGACTGATTCCATCGAGATTCTGACTCGCCGTTTTGATACTGATAGTTTGATCTATGAAGACTGGCACCATGCCAAAGAACGTGAGTCCAAGACTGTGAAGTTTGATGCTAATGGAGATAGGCTCGACTCGGATTCGAAGCCATTACCACCATCGAGGGCACAAACGCCACTAGCGTTGAAGCAACCTAAGTCTTCTGTACCCGATATTGATGTGCTTGCGAAGCAGTTGCAGGATTTGTCGCTGAACCAAGCTCAGCTTATGGCCATGATGACTGCATCTATGAACAATGCGCCGTCAGACCAACATGGTCCCATGCAGCAGAATCAAGGATGGTGTTTTATCTGTGGGAAATAGAATGCTCACCCACTTCATCCTAGGCATTGCCAGGAGACGTTGAAGCTCATTGAGGAGAGACGAATCAAGTATGATGCGAACAGAGATAGGTACATCCAGATGGATGGAAGTGACTTACCCCAAACACCTTGAGGATTTTACGGCAGAGTTGCAGATTGGTTGTGCCAACAGAACCCTGCTACTTCCGATTCAGCGCCTGTGCAAGCTACTGCGAGGACGAGTTCACTTGGCCTTTCATATGGCCATTCTGATGTTTTATGAGGGGATGTATTTGCAGTATCCTCTCTTTCATTTGATGATAGATTTTCTAACCCTTCTCTTCGTTCTGGCAAAGATACTTCTGCTAGGTATGACCCGATGCGAAGGCCAGAGGATAAAGGGAAAGGGAAAGAAGGAGGAGCACCTGCATCTTCTTCTGTACCAAGACCTCAGTCTTCTCAGCCAATGCCGGGTCCGAATTTTACACGCCCGAATGCTTTTACACCCCCCGTACCTGCGACTACTGTCCCTGTTAACCCTGCGCCTGCCCACGTGAATGTTCCACCACCATCCAACCCGATTAACACTCAGAAAGGATGGAAGAACTCAAGACCATCAAACAACAAGCCTCAGAACGATGTTGAGATGAAGGATGGAACTAGGAAGCCAGCAGATAAGTCGTCTACTGCTCCTCAGTATCATTTTACTTCCGATATCCAGGAAATGTCTGATCCGAAGGCCGTGATGAACAAGCTTTTGAACCTCAATGTTACGATTCCGCTGATGTGCTCGGTAACGGGCAGCGCGCAAATGAAACTAGTGTCTAGATCGTCAATCTAGATACTAAATCACACACACACACACACACAATCACCAATGTATATAAGTTCGAGGGTGAGTACGATAGAAGCACTCACGATGTACTTAGATTTAGATAATCTAGTGGGGTTTTGCCTGAAAACAACTTCAATTCTTCTTTCGATGTGTTTTACACAAAGTACACTAGTCCGCGATAGCAGGGTTTTATGAACTTGTTTTGTAAGGTATAGTCGAGCAAGTTATGCTCGTTTCGACGTCGTCTAGAAGAACTTCTAGCGGACACTTCAAATAATCAAACAACCAAAGACTCTGAGGTCTACAAAGAGTGCAAAATCACTCTACAAAGAACGCTCAGGTTCTGACTTCAAGTACAAGACTTGCAAAGAGTACACAGACTCTGGAGTTCCTTGAACTCGACGATTGTTCGAACTTAAAGCGTTCTAGGGCTTATTTTACTTCAACTAGATGAGGTCTTTTGATTTAAAGTCGACTCAGCACGTCTAGATCGCTAATCTCGGAGAGAGAGAACACGAGGCCTTTGTCCGTGGAGCAGTTCAATTAACTAGCAAGGCGCAAACATGGGGATGGCTCTACTTCCTACTTAACTCTTCTAGATTACTGTAGTCGCCCTTATGGGTTGACTTTGGTAACTTAATTCACTTCAGTCGAGGATATGCAATAAAAAACCAGTGATTGATTAGGTAGCTATACAGGCTACTAGCACAAACGCGGGGGGAATGCTTTCCTGCCGTTATGCGTCTAGTCGCTGCTAATTTATACGATTCGTGTTTTAGGTATAGGAGCCCATATCTACAGTAATTATGGTACGAGCTTTGGAATTAATACAAACAGTGAGTCACTATCCTACAAGTATCGCGCCATTCCGTAGTTTCTATTCAGTTCGACGCGACTGTGCCGGGTTATTCTGTCGCCGAGGAGTGCCCTACTAGTCCGTGGGTGCTCCTTCTTCCATCTGCAAGGCCTGCCGTGCGCCGTATGTATTGAATACTGCGGTATGCGCAGGATCTCAAGGATGTAACCACCGATCGCGATCGACTGCAGGTCCGAGATTGTATTCTGTTGATCACTGCGCGATCAAAGTCGGTCATCTCAGTACCCAACGCGGCTATTCATTCTTCCAAGGTTATTCCTTTCCTAGCCTGAGTTGATCTCGAAAGCTGATCTGTTTCTCGACTTAGCAATTTTTCCTGACAGGTTCTTTCTACTCGTCGAGGCGACGAGGCATCTAGTTCGTTCCATTCTTCAACTTCTTGGTTTTTATACTCCATACAGACAAGTCCTCAAGATTTGACTGTAATAGTCTTGTTTAGGTAGGGCTTAGCTTGGCGTGTTGACGGCTGGTAGAATTGACTCTTCGAGATGTCGTTTCTAAGTCCATTCTGTACTGCCGTGCTTTCATTCTTTATGTAGTATTTAGCTACCAGCGTGAAGCCTCCACTGTAGCCCTCTGTACCACTTGTAGATTGCATAAACTGATGTAAAATCGCAAAATCTACGGGTAGCCTGATACCAGGCGTATCACCGCTTTTCCAGCTCGTCGGCAATAGTCCTGTCCTTCAGAAGATGATGGGTGAGGCTACTAGGACAAAGCGAGAGTATACAACAAAACAAGCTGAGTATTTTGCTTCTGAGAATGAATTATATGCTGTTGAGGATTTAGATCAGTTTGAAAGGATGGCAGTGTCTGCTGGCTGTTCTCGTGATGGGACTAGGCATTTCCATTGTGAAGACAGTTATCATATGCATGAGTTTTTGCACCGCTATGGTAATGCCGTTGCGCAAGTACCCTCTACGCATTACTTTGCGATGGCTACAGGTTCATTTCACTTAACAATTAATGGAACTGACTTTACGGTGATGATTGACACTGGTTCAGAGCTGAACCTTGCAACTGTTTCTCTTCCTGGATGCTGCGGGTTGGCATTTGACTTCGAAGGTATGAAGTGGTCCTTGAAAGGTATCCACGGAGACCCCGACCGCTTGTCAGGTTGTGCTACTGACATGCCTTTGCACATTGGCAGCCACGATTTTGTTCATCACTTGTTTATTTCACATCAGGAGCTCGGTAAGCACAATATTATTCTAGGACAGCCCTTCTTGCAATGGTTCGCTGCCCGATTGGATTATGACCGTACCAGACAAGTTAAGTTGATTCTCTGGAAGGATGGAGATCGCCATCAGCGTCCTATGCTCTCTGTTACAATCACTGACCTGCAGGATACTCGAAACACAACGAAGATATCTCATTCCGGTGAAGTGAGGACAACGCAAATTGAAGAAGTGACCGATGAGGAGGATTTTCTCAGCGGGGGAGGAACGAATTGAAGATCTTCCATACCTCTCATGCAATGCTGGGAAGATCGTTTGAAGTGTTGATGGGAAATGATGAGTATTCCGATTTTGATTCTCTTTTCTATGTTATACCCAATGAATCCTATGACTGTTTGATTTCTAACTATGTTACTTGTACTAATACCAACCCTTCTTCTATTATTTCTACTCCTTGGACTGTTCGAGCTCTTACTGACCAATTTATTTATAGTGCCTCTGCCACGAAGTCACCTTTGCAATCAAAGAAGAAGTACAAGCCGGTACATCGCAAGCATCGGCCGGTGCCTACATATATGCCAAACCCTGAGGCACAATACTTCTGCAAGATACCTGCACCTATTCCTATTTCTTTACCGTTTGAACCTATTGACTATCATCACTTGAGTTTTGGATCTAGAGTTATGTTGGAGAGACTGGAGGCAATGCTTGAGAAGATTGAACCTGGGATTTTGTCCAAGGAAGAGATCGACTTGCTGGCATTTGTAGTGGTGCAACGTGAGTCTGCATTTGCATTTGAGTATGCTGAAAAAGGTTCCTTTTCCCGAGAATATTACCCTGACTACGAGATACCAACTATTGAACATGTTCCTTGGCAATCAAAACCGATAACGATTCTGGCAGCTATTGTGGATGATGTATATCGAGAGATTATTTCTAATGAAGCCCTAGGTCGATTTGAGCCAACTACTTCAAGCTATTGGTCCTCACTGTTTGCCATTGCGAAAAAGCCTGGATCTGTACCTCCAGTGCACCTAGTCATGGATCTTCAAGAATTGAATAGTGTTACGATTCGGGATTCATCCCTACCACCTAACCTCAATGAATTTGCTGAGTCTTTTGTTGGTTATGCATTGTATGGTCTCTATGATCTCTTTTCAGGTTTTGATGCTTGCTGGGTTGCCAAGAAATCTTGACCTTTGCTTGCATTTCACTCTCCGGCTGGAGCTCGCCAACAATGTACGCTCTCTCAAGGATATACAAATGCAGTACAAGAGTTTCAAAGGCGAGTACAACATGCTCTTAAGCAGCTAATTGAGCAACAGATTGCAGATAACTTCGTCGATGACTGTGGCCTCAAAGGACCAACTTCGAGGTACAATAATGAGCCTATACCTGGGAATCTCAACATCCAAAGGTTCATTTGGGAGTATATTGAACGTCTTGACATGTTTCTAGGTGCTCTGATCATGGCTGGGATTACGGCTTCTGGTACGAAGGCCGTTCTTGCTGCGCTAAATTTGCAAATTGTAGGGACTATTGTGGCACTCGAGGGCTGGGTATTAGCACCCAGTGTCATTCAGAAGGTGCTTGATTGGCCTCCTCCTTCTTCCGTTAGTGAGGTTCGGAGTTTTCTGGGACTTGTGGGCAGAGGGAGAAAGTGGATTAAGGGATTTGCGATGATTGCTAAGCCTCTCACTGTTCTTCTCCAAGCTACTGATGGACCATTTGTAGTTACTATCAATGCTCTTCAAGCGCAGGATGAGCTCAAGCATCGCATTTCGTCTCCACCAATATTAATCAAAGTGGATTACATGCAAGCTAAGTCAATTTTGCCCTTACCTTGTGATTCCGATGAAGGCCTTTTGGTTGTAGCGATTGACTCGTCTTGGATGGGAGCTGGATGGGCTCTGTACCAAGTTCAAGAGGGTCAGAAGCACATTGCTCTTTACGGATCGTGTACGTTCAACAAGACACAGCAAAACTATGGACAGCCAAAGACTGAGGTTCTTGGGACGTTCATGGGCCTCAAGGATTTGCGCCATCAAGTCTGGGGAGTACACTTTTGTCTTGAACATGATGCTATCTCACTTGCTAAAATGTTAAAGGAACCGGATGATGTGCCCAATGTGCCAATGCTACGATGGATTTCATGGATACGACTCTTCGATTTTGAGACCAAGCACATTAAAGCAGAGTCCTTCAAGACTGAGGATGCTTTGTCTAGGTGCCCACCTTTAGAGAAAGATGAGACTTACGATGATATTGATGCTGAAGAATTTCTAGATGCTTACGATTTGGCTTATGGATCACTTACACGTCTGACAAAGGACGTAGCATATTCTTCTCTCACTAAGTTTATTTTTGATTCACTTTATACATGATACTCTAATCCTTTCATCATGAAATGGAATGAAGGGCTTGGAGATATACCCTTCTATGTGAATTCAGAAGCAATACAAGTGCCCACAGAGCTAAGTGATTTGTCTGTTAACTCTTTCTATGTTGATTCTGCACTCCTGTATTCTCTGTTCTTAGGATCTGCTATGCGGAATACCCAACCATGGAATATACAGCGCTTACCAGAGTTTTATGCATGTAAGACATGCGTTGAACTCACTGATTATTTTCTATTAGGTGATGAAGAGGTATGTTTGGAGTTTACTGTTGTGCTAGGTCTCTCCCAGAGTATTCCCCTGGAAACAACGGCACTTGCATCGGTTGGTCACAAGCATGGGACCTGAGATGCTGACGACTATGGGTTTTGGCAAGAGCTAAGTGTTTTCTTGAGATCAGGAGTATATCCTGTGCATCTGAAGACCGATAAAGATCGAATATGATTTCTCAAGCACTCTAGACGATTTATCTTGCATCAAGATCGACTCTGGTTGGCTCCGAAGAAGAATTCTGCTATCCCACCACGCCTTGTAATCGAATTTGTTCCCAAGAGACAAGAGCTTATTGCCCAGGCGCACAATGACTGTGGTCATCGAGGTAGGGATGCTGTTTATAAGCTCTTATGAGACAGGTTTTATTGGCTGAATATGTTTGACGATGTCACATACTTTGTACGCTCTTGCATGGAGTGTCAGAAATCGATAAAGACAAGTCCTATTCTTCCTTATTCCGAGTCTTGGCAAGCCCCGCTACTTCGTCACTTTGATTTAGATTGCATTGTGATGCCCTCTGGTGTTGGAGGCTTTGAGTACATTGTCCAGGCCATTGAGAGGACTATCCTGTGGGCAGAAGCTCATGCGCTCAAGAGCCAGACATCCCGACTTGTTGCAAAGTTCATTTACGAGGAGATTATTTGCTGATTTAGCTGTGTTCCATTTTTTTCCTTCGATGGAGGTTCGGAGTTCAAAGGTGAAGTTACGGCTCTCTTACGTGACCTGTATAACTGTGTTGTTGTTTTTTCTACAGCGTATCATCCTGAAGGGATGGCTCCAGTTGAGCGCCATCATCAGATGATTGTTGATCCATTGTTCAAGTGCACGGGAGACGCTAAAGGCAACTGGCCTCATTTCCTATTTGCTGTTCTCTTTGCCCTACAAGTAACAGTCAGTTGTGCAACAGGATTTTCTCCATTCTATTTGATCTATGGTGTGCAACCCGTTTTTTCCTTTGATATGACCGAGATTACATGGCAGACACTTGACTGGGACAAGGTACGTACTCATGAAGAGCTGATTGCTATTAGAGCCTTGCAGATTACCCAACAAGACGAGAAGTTAAGAGAAGCAAATGCCAAGTTACGTGAAACTCAAAAATGAGCGATTGAAGACCTTGCAAAACGTGCCCATTTCAAGTTTGGGTTCACGGATTATGAGGTAGGGATGTATGTCTGGCTTCGGGAATCGCAACTGGATGAGATCAAAGGAGGAAAAGGTGCGTGGACATATTCTGGACCATATATCATTCACGAAAAGCGGAATCACGACTCTTTTGTCTTGCGAGAGCTCAGCGGAGCAATTATAAAAGGCCACATCAATATACGTCACTTGAGACTCTTCTACTTTCGTCCTGACAACCAGACTTTGCGGACAAGCCTTCAACCTCGAGCCTGACGCATGGAACTTGCTGAATACGACTACAGCCTCGATGCAGCTTGGAAAAATATTTCCGCCTATGCAAACGAGCCGGAGGACGAGTTCTATACACGCTGAGTGCTCCTATTCTTTATCATGACCTATGACGACTTTTTGACCCCTTTCTGTTATCAAAAATATCAAAACCCAGTTCCTCTCTCTCCTTTTCTTTCTTCCTTTCCCCCATCACCATGCCTCCCACTATGTATGACGATTGCGACCCTCAGTGCCTTGTTCATCTTAATCCTTCACCATTTGACTCCTCTCCTTATTTTCCGGACTCTACCTTCGATTTACGCCTCCTCAGTAACAACCCGGTGCGCGGTTTCCACCCTAGACACGAGATGGATATTGGCAACCCTTCCAAGGGCGAGTATCCGATTGCGAGACACCATGGGAACCATATTCCATGCCTGAGCCTTGTGGACGACATCGAGTATTGCTCTTTCTTTAGAGGTGATCTTTCTTTATGTTATTTCTATGATGATTCTGCAGAGTGTTTGTTGGGTGATGAGCTTGTTACCTTGCCTTTTGTGGTACGGGTTTTTTGTCAGGATCGTGCACTAGCTTGGCACGAAATCTGGAAGGTGCTTTGCAACCCTAACTCTCCTCCTCCGACGCGATACAACTTTGTTGAACTTCAAGGTGCAAAGATGGGACAAGGACCATGGACTGCACCTTGGTTCAAGCATATGGTGCATCATTTTTACTTGGACTCTGATAATTGTATCGTGGAGAAAAGCACTGGCCTTTGAGTGTGCATTGACTCTTCAGAATTCGAGTTTAAGAGCCTTGTTATGTTCGATCCGAACGTTGTTGTCCAACTTACACCTCAACAACTCGTCCACATGGTCCAGACCGACACCCAGCACCGGCATATTGATGCACTTCGACATGCTGAGGCAATTCTCCATCACCTTCGAGCTTTTCACCTCAGCCCTCATGTATCCTTGATTCCAAAGAGAACAGGTAGTGGGCGTTTGGTCATCGATATGCGGCTGTATACCTGTCACGACTAGGTTTATTTTCTTTCTGGATTTCGAGGGCAAAATCAAGAGTATTCCCCTCTGTGGTAGTATGAGTTGCCATGCTCATAGACTGGACGTCTTGGGCTGGCTGACTCATACTTCCTTTTTCAGTTTGATACGTGTCTTTCCTTCCTTCCACCATCATGTACTCCGTTTTGCTGCCATTCTCCTTTACAGATTCATATTTTCTTCAATGCATCACTGTGTAGCTCTGGGATCAACGAGCACGCATTCCTCATACTTCTGCCTTTGGGCATCAATGCTCAAGACCAAGACACCAACGTTGAGGTAGCTCGCCTCACCAACAAAAGAGCTGTTTCGAATGCTGGCAGAAAGATTGGTACTGGTTGTATGAACGTTGTATAGATATATTAGTTCGTTTTGTCTTCATTTTCCATTTCTGATTTCCTTTCTTTGAGTTTCATCATCAATCCCCTCCCTACCCCATCCAATGTGAAGACCAATGCCAATGGCGGATGACATCACCTCGGAGTGCACTGGGAATCGAGAAACGATGGCATGGGCCACCGTTCATATGCTGAGCGGGGCAGCACCTCTTCCTATGCTGTAGTTGCGCGTATCCCAGGTGGTTTAGTCTTGCTTGCAGTCAAGGTAACTGAGCTAGGTATTCGCTTTCTTCTGACACATTTTGTTATAGAATATATCTACATACACGAATCTATCAATTACGGGCTCTGGCGATGTGAGAGAATGTGTGCGGCTACCCCCTCTTCCACATTTGTATCCAATTGACATGGAAATTTGATTTTTACCTTTCTTGCCTTACACCACGAGCACTGAGCCATCGAGCGAGCCCCTGAGCCTTCAGAATTGAGCCCAGTAAGTGGTCTCCTTGTTCCTCATACTGATTTACTATTTAGATACTTCTCGTATCAATAAACATGCCAATTCTCATCCACACCCAGCTGATTCACAAGCAACTCATGACCTCGCATAACCATCTATGTCCGCTTCGACGTATACTGCGACACTGCCCCTTCTACTACTTATATACTACAGAGACAGGTATAGAATAAATATAAATAGATTCTCTAGGGGTAATATTGGTAAGGATGTCTTGGCTAGTCACGAAAATATGGTGAATAATCATGCAATAGTCGGCCTAGCCTGTTCTTTCTGTCAGATAGCGGGTCGAGGGACTCCACTATTGGGTCGTTTCTGCACCCTTTGCCCAGCGGTGCTCCACTAGTGACACAGCTATATGAATAGTCAGGTAACCATGCCTGTAGCAACTGCTCGATTGTGATCGGGGTGCAGCCCGGCTATACTAGTGCTGATCATATGAGATCTGTATCACACTAGCTGGATCTGGGCTAAGGGTTATGCCTTTACTGGTTTATTTCTAAGTCCTTTCAGAAGTGCTCATGTGACTAGTCATCCTGACTTAGGCGTTCATGCCCAGATCGGTCCACTAGCGACTGAATAGTCGAGATCTGTGTGGGTTCTTACTTCTTGTTTGGGCACTAGCAGCTGTATTCTTTACTAGTGACCGTATTTTACTAAGTCATACTAGCTTTGGAGGTGCTAGTCCGGTCGGCTGGTAGGGCTGACCCACTAGTGGTATCATTCCTAAGTCCTGACTCGACTAGTAGCATGCTAACTTGACTATCAGTCCAAAGTCTCAACTATAGCCCTTGATATATGACTAGTATAGGATAGACATGCAATAGTATTGTTATAAAATCACAAAATCTAGGTGTGAATGTGTAGACAGCATATCAGCAGAATCACTGACAGCCAGTAAAGTTAGTTCTTCTCATCTCTGGAATGGGTGCATTTGACTTACCAAATTAACCACAGGACTTTCTCAAAGTCACCTTTCCCACATCACAATACCCCAACTGCCTCCCCAGCTACATCTTCTATGACAACAATTGTTCATTGCTGCACCATCTCTGGACTCAAAGGGACACTTACTTTAACAAAACAGGAATGATCATGGAAACTTGGCATGCCCAAAGCCACAAAAAGACAGATGAATTCTGCCACAGATGGTGCCTCCCCTCCTGTTTTCCCAAGCTGATGAAGCCAGGCAAGAAGGGGGGAAAGGAGTGGCAATTCAATGCCTCAGCCACAGAGCAAGCAGCAGACAGTGGCAAAATTGGAAGAATGGGGGCATTTGCCTTTACTGATACTGGAGCACATCCTCCAGGGAGAGCCAGTGCTCATGCCAAGAGGCAACTGATGGTAGACGTTGGAAAGAGAGCAACTACAGGAAAAAAGGCGCTCACACAGTAGCGTGCTTGAGGATGAAAGGCATGAGTCAGGAAAGCATTGGGCCATGAGTAAGCTGACATTTAACAACAGAAGTATCATAGCCCTTTGCTATGAGCAGAATACAGCATGTGTAGGAAGTAAGTTGCCAGGCCAGAAGTGGTGTTGGAGTAGTAGCACCCTCGAGAGAGTTTGGTCTGGTGCAATGGTGGGGCAGAAGTCTGAGACTGCAAGTAAGCCTACTGTTTAACAACGGATGTACCACAGTCCAAGGCTACTCTGGTGGAATGGTGCCAATGTGGAACACATCAGGTTACATCCCACCATCACTGCCTGAAAATGCCACCATCGTTTCACAACAGCTACACATGATCAGGGTAGGGAGTGCAAATAGAAGCAAAATTGATGGCAATGCACTTGTTTGGACCAGAGGCTGGGCAGAGTTTGAAGTGTAAAGCTTGTGCTTGAGCCAAGTGCCACTCACTCTTATCGCCTTCATGGTACCAAGGTGAAACTTTGGTAGAGGAACATTGAGCATATCACACTAGGGTTAAACCTTGGCTGGTAATTGCTTGGGCTTGCATCACCTGGAGTGTCAACTTCAGAATTGTTGAGCCTGTGCCAATTTTTGCACTCAACAAAGTTTTGCAGGTGGGTGCCTTCAAGGCAGAGGGTTATTCATTGCTCTAACATCACCTCAGGCTATGGTAGTCCTATGTCTGCTCAGTACAGTTCTGAAGCTGGTGGTTCTGAGGGGGTGAACTCACAGTAAGTGTCCATTTGTTCCTGAAGTAGCAGTACTTATGGTGGGAGCAGGCCTTCGCATCTGTGACAAGTTGTGGTGACCAAAGATGACTGCATTTTTGTTCTCTTCATGACAAGAGAGTTAGCTCTGATACCTAGCAGAGCCATCATGGACCCATCACAGTCTACCTTCATGTGCTTATCCATAGATCCTGTGTCATTTCTGGAGTGGTGCTGGTCAATAAACTTGATACCATACCAGGCTTTTGTTCCCATCAACATCTATACAGCCTGTAGCTGCTGTCTGTTGAGATGCCTCAATTATACCTGTGCCAGTGTTCCAATTGAGTCAAAGGGAGATAGGTGGTACCTTCGACAAGATGTTTTTCATGATTGGAAGGATCTGGAGACCATCATTCTGCAACTCAGAGAGGTGTCCCAGTTAGCCACCACCAATCTAAGGCTGAGGAGAGCTCTCTTCAGCTGACCAGAACTATCTCAGTACAGATATGGGTGAAGTCACATTGACCATCTCAAGCTGATGGCAATGCTCATGCAGTTGAGAGAGGCATTCATATTGGTTCTAGCTGAGATAGCCTACAATGCAGTCTGTCAAACTGATTTTTGGGATGAGATGGTATTGAGCCACTTCAACGCTCATGTTATGGACCTTTTCAAGGAAAGCTGGGTGGCATGAGATGGTGAAGGATTCCAGGTGGTGGGTTCAAACAATTTCAATGTGCAAGGGCTGCAACACATCGGTCTGTTTGTAGATGTGGAGGATTGTGATTTCACAGATGTTTTTGAGTGCATGATCAATGCCAGTATCCCACTGTGGCTGGCATAGGATTCAATCCAGGCATGGGCCTCTACAACTGTTGGGTTGTTGAAGTATGTTCTGACAGGTGATGAGCTCTGGCAAGCTCTATGCCACCTGGTGGAAGGCTAAGCAGCAATGTGTTCCACCAAGAGAGTTCCTCTGAGATTGCAAGCTCTTCCTGACAGCTCAATATTCGATCCAAGTCCTCCTCAGCCTGATCCTCAACCTGATGTCTTGACCTGGGAATCATCAGGTGCAGCTTGGGGCATGGATGAAATGATGGCCCTGGTGCCCATGCAGGGAGCTTGGTTAATGATAGCTCCTATAGAGTCAAGGCTGGTAGAAGGCCCAAAGATCTTATATGAGCCTGTTGGCAAGGGAGAGAGGCACCATGGACAGCATCTTGGTGAGAGATGGCAGGACTTTTTCCAGGCCATGTACCTGTTATCAGCCAAATAGTTAGGTCAATTGACCTAAGATTATTTGGCAAATGGCTTTCATTTAGCACAGCCACCTTCAGATTACATTTTGCTAGAGTACACATTTGGCATACCCTTAAAAGTGAGAAATTTTTACTTTTTTGGCTTCATAAATCTCAAAATTTTTGGGTGCAAAAATTTGTGTGGTGAAATATTTTCTGCATAAATATCAAGAGTCTACAAAACCTGTTGCTGATGCTGGTGATCTCAGATAACCAGGTCATCTACAAATACCCAGATAACTGGCTAGACTGATCTTGCAGTTATTAGGATTGGCACCAAATATTCCACCCTCCTGGTCACTGCTGGGCCCTGACAAAATTTGTATGAGCTCAAAAAATAATGATGAATGCTTTACCACAGTCTCCTGACTCACTCACTGCCTATATTGGCTGGATGTGCCTGTGCATACTTGGATGTAGTAAGGCATGAGAATATATCACTCTTAATCCAGTTTCCATTGTGGAATTTGCCGAATACTCTCATTGCTTTCAATTTCCTTGCAATTATGTCACTTTCAATGCTTTCCATGCATCAAAAAGATTCTTTGTTTATAAATATACAAAGTTCTGCCTATGAGCCAAATTTAGTCCTTTGTAAAGCCCTTATTATTCACAGAAATGTCAAAAATATGAGGAAATGCAATGAACACCACTCTTTCAATAGTTTGTGACACACTGTACATTCAAATCATGATATAATGGAATAAGAAGCATTTAATACACTGCTTAACAAGAGTAATAGTGGTTGTATATACCTGCCTGAATTGAACAGGTGGCAGAAGCTTGCGGTATACAAATGAGCCTAAAGATAAGTCACAATTGATATTAAAACCAATGTTTACTTCACCATTAAAGTGAATAATAAGGAAGATGCAACTGGATTAGGCTGGATTGGTGTACTATTTTGGGTTGTTGCATGTATATACCTATGCATCTAAGCATCTGTATACTCATTCAGACTGTGTGGAGTTCTACAGACCTAGAATATAAACTAAAAATGTGAAAATGAGGTGCATGTCCTAATGAAAACTATTTTATGGGGGCTAATAATATTTGGATAAAATATAAAATACATACACATATCAGATTTACACATAGGTATGTTTGTCAACTGTTTTGGTGAATCGGAGAGCCTGGTATAAGCAGAGGATGCATCCCAAGGGTGCATTCTACTTGCTTGATCAGCACAAATCATACATCTATACAGCAATCAAGTGGCTGCCTCACCACATGCATAAGTCCTCATCTGAGGCAGCACTGTGCCCTACCTGCAAACAATGACCACAACAGTATGATGACAATCAAGGACTGGGACAACCACTACCACCAGCCTGCCACAGCCCCAATGCATCCCCCATCCTCCCCAACTGGTGCAGCAGCCCCTGCATCAACATTGGCTGACAGCTGACAATGAGGATGATGATTATGCCCTTTTAGGCATCGATGGAGGACTCAAGTGCACAATAAACGAGCCTAGAATCACAGCCATACCACCACCACCATGTTCACTGCTACTGACCCCGCCCAATATCAACACAGGCCTCTACTGCTCAGCCAAGGCATCCCAGGGACCCCAGGCTTGTGCATTGCCCACTATTTGGATAGGAGAATACAGTCCTGCTGTGTGCTAGTGTTAGGATCATGCCAATAGGATTGCGGCAGTAAGTGCACGTAGCAGAATGCCGCAGGATGCGTCGGGCATAGGCAAAGCTATTAGCAATGTCACCCCTGAGCCAAAGCCCTAAGATGGATATGGATGGAAGTCCACGGGGTGGCAGAGACAAGGTAAGAGATAAGTCCAACGGATTGGAGGTCCGTGGACTGGAGGACGAGAGTGTGACTTAAGAGTCAGAGAGAGAGAGAGATTGGGCTGAACCAAGTTGATATTCAAACTGAGTATCTACAGTGTAATTCTAAGGCTTATATACTAGTTAGGAGTCTGATCTAGTTCCTACTCGGAGTGGTCTACATTCTAGGGTTGTCGGAGGATGTATTTTACCAGTCGGTAGCCGATGGGGTCTGATGACATATTCGCTACCGATGTCGTGCTATTGATAAATTGTAATGGAGAAGTGAGATATAAAAAGAATATGAAATAGAATATGAAATAGAAACTGGGAATCGGAATCCGTAGGATTCCGGGCTGTGGCTTGTTGGGTTAAGTGGAGGTCGGGTTTCCGTCGGCATGCTCATTACAGCTAGCCTCTCTGGCTCCGCTGTTATCATGCGCCTGCTCCCATCCCCATCCCTGCATTGTCCTCCCCATATTGCCCCCTACAGGTAGCGATTTGCCACCAGAACTTCACCATCCCTATTTTCAATATGGAGGAAGGTAATGGTGAGGCTTTTCTCTCTCTCTGACCCCACTATTGCTATCAACAGCATGTCGAACCTGTCCAGCCCTTGTCTCCCTCCCACATCACCCAGGGCCCCTCAGAACTATCCTTTTCAATGCAGAACATTACTACAGGTCTATCTCTGCTACACCCCATGGTGCCTGTCTCTGCTTGCCCTCACTGTAAATAAGCATCTTCTCTATGAATATATAGTCCTTTAGTATAATGGTTTCATTGTATTGGGCTCTGGCTTATAATGGGCTGTGCTTGTGTTCAATCCTGCATGTTGCTCATTTTTTAAATTGTGAATTCATTCAAAACAAAAAAGGTAATCCAGAAAAATTCAAACCAATCCAACTCATAGTTCTGGCTAATGTTTTGGGTCATATCATGAATCAGTTCTATTATATATTTCACATCCCCATGTCATTTTGCAGATACCATAACTACCTGAGAGAGCACAAAATTGACCCAATTGTTATTTTATCTATTTAGGTGACCATTTCAGTCTGCACTGCATACCCTATCTGCTGGATGGGAAAATGTGACTGTGCCAAATGATGCTCATTTGGCAAATAGGTTTAGGTCCTTTGACAGGCATTTTGGCATATCCTGAGGACATGGGGTGCTTTTTCACCCACAGAGAAGAGAAAAATGAGGTGTCAAAGAAAAGCGAGAGTGAGCAGGACAGGCAGACATGATACCAGAGGGAGGAACATGCAGTCAAGTTCAAAGTACCGGGTGCCAAGGGTGTGGCAGTGTTTGAGTGGTCATTAGATGAGCATAAGGGTTATCTGGTTCAACAGCCTCTTTTTCATAGGCAGGTGGTGGACATCTGAATGTGATACAGTAACAGTCAGTGTCAGTACAATTTCTTTCATAACGAATGGGACTTGAATGAAGAATTTGATCCCATGGCACATTATGACAGCGATGAGGATGATGACAATGATTTTAACTTCCAAGGAGGATCCAATGCCTATAATGGGATCGATGAGCCAGTGACATTGTCTCAAAGAAGCGATCTAGACCCTGCACAAGAACTAGGTTACTGCCTCGTTACTCATGAGGCAGAAGATGTTCAGTCAGAGAAGATGTCCACAGCTACCCTTGAAGAGGTTCTGTATTAGTTCTATGGCCTTCAACTTCCTGCAGCACAATTATGCGAGACTGAACTCATACCCGTCAAGGCTCAGAAGGCCACCAGATGCAAGTTGTCTTTGGTGTGTTGAAATGCAGATAGGGACTCCTACAACCTAAGATTCAAATGGGCACTCAGCATGCTAATGAATGGCCTCCTCTCAAGAGGTGTGCTGCCACATGGTTTTCCCCCTGATTGGTCTGACTTTGACCTGTCATGTACAAATTACCTGGCAAGAGTCTACAACAAAAGGTTCTCAGTATCAAGGGTGTGGGTTACCAACCAGAAGGAGAACATGTATCAGATATCCAATGGAGAAGAGACTGACTACGAGCTGATTGTCGGTTGAGCAAGTGTGGTCCTCTTGTGTCTTCACCAAATGAAGCACCTATCCTTGGATGAAATGGCTGAATATCTGTGTTCCTGAGGCATCAAACTTTCAACTTACCTATGCATTCACCATGAGGATCAGGGCCCAAGAACATCCCTGAGAGCAGTCGAGCACATTCCTTATTGAGTCAAGGGCTTCCAGCTTGATAAAGATGACTATATGAGCTACATCAGGAGACACAAGCAGCTATTTTGGAGCAATGAAGTCCTCCATGCCACTCTGAAGCATGATGGTGTACCTTGGCATCTGGCAATAGAGGAGGTGTCAGAAGATTTCATCACTTCAGGCCCTTCATCCCAGATGATGAAAGTGGGGGGATTTTACAAGATGGAAGAAGGTGACAAGTTATGGGATGAGATGCTCACCAAGGACCAGATCAACATCATCTGTGGGGTATATAAGGTCGAAAGAGAGGAAAGTAAAAGCAAGTCCAGCAAGAAGAGAGTTGGCTGTAGTAGATTGACAGAACACATCTCATGGTTTCTGAAAGATGCAAGTTGGAGAGGAAGTGATCTCGATGTAGGATTTTGGAGTGCAGACACTGAATCTTGGTACCAGTGTCAGGTCAAGAAATATCTGGATGGAGACTTCAAGTGCAAAAATCAGACAGAGTGGAAGAAGTCATTGAAACTCTGGCGGGAGGCCCAAAAGGTGGTGGAGCATCTGGAAACACTGTTACACTCCTTCCTTCAATGCTATGTGTAATGCACCAACTCAAAACAGCACTAGCGTGAGTCTACTTATGTCGCTTGCATTCAGTGATTCACAAGTAGATGGCTTTGTAAGTTATCGTGGATGGTGACAGATAGTTTAGTCATGAACCAGGGAGTTCAGTAAGAGTTGGAAGTGTATAACTTTAGCCAAAGCTGGAGTCTAAGGCCACAGCATAGGCTAGCTTAAATACATGTCAGACTCATACTAAGAATAGTGTCTACCAGGGCACATGCAGTGAGAAGTGTGCTCTGTAGCAAATGAGGAGTGAGGGCACTGAAAGAAGTGTATCCCTGACAAATGAGAGTAAAGGGCACATATCACCTACATCAATGTGAGACTCCATCTGAATAGACCATATCCCATAGACTGCCCTCAACTAGTGGTCGACTCTTGTCCAACCACTAAGAAGCATGATGGCACATGCAGTATGTTAATCATCCAAGACATGGCAGCTGTAGACAAGTCATTAGCAGGGTGATGGCAACCGGATAAACAGGTAGGAGATGTGCCAGCAGAATATTGTAAGTCTGGGAGATAAGATAGGTAGGTCCAGGGTGCTGAGAGATAAGGATAAGATAAGATACGAAAAATAGAGGTAAGGTCATAATAGGCCTCCACTGCATGCAATCCCTTTCTCTGTCTCTATTAGCATGATCCTAACATTTGAATAGGTTAACACCTAACACAAGGAGGGGAAACCTAAAGAATGGTCAAACAATCAAGACAAAAGCAAAGAAAGAACAAACATTGAGAACATGGAGACCCCAATGGCACTCCAAAGGGGCAGGTCACTGAGATTGAGTGACCACAGCTGTGCTGAATACAGCAGGTCACCAAGTTGGGTGACTGTGCTGGACACTTGAAACACCCAATGAAATTTGTCAAAAAGTGTAAAAATATAAAAATATGAGGATCACATTACCTGATAATTAATTAAAAGAGTAGAGCCATAGCATTAACCTATTCATCTGGATTGCAAGGCTTGGAATATATAAGGTATATACAACAAAGCCCTCAGAAATGGGTAAGATCTATGTTTTTGTCTAACTGATTACCAAGATAATATGGTGTAGTGGATCTGGTAAAAGTAAGGATTCAGGCTTAGGGTTCAATTCTCAATGTGACTGTAAAATTTTTGCTCCTCACTTAGGTCCAAAGCTTTTGCGAAGCAACTCAGGCCAATCACGGCTCCACTCCAAAATGAGTTGCTTCTGCCCTGCAAGGCAGGGGATGCTTTCAAGGTCTTTTTTAAGTTCTAAGTCAAAGAAACAGGCAGCAGGAGAAAAAAAAAGATGCAAAAAGGTTCATTCAAATAACTTTATTATATATGTACAGTACCAGTACAATTAACAAATTGTGTTCTATGTATACTACACTTTCTTGTTAGGCCAATTAGTTTGTTTGGAAAAAAAATCATGCATGCATGCTTGCCCCAAGCAAAATGAGACAACAAAAACACAGGATAAGATGGGGAATATGGGTGTGACTATGTGAGTCACACCCCAGATTGGTGACCTGCTCCTGCCCAGGTGTCAGTGATGAGCGAGCATGGCAGGGGGACAAGCCACTCATGAGATTGGTAACCATGCAGGCAAGAAGCGAGTGAGGGCAAAATGATGCATCATTGGAGTTTGAATTCGAATCATCAGCTAACACTAGCTGAGGTGACCCAAGCCAGTGACTGAGTGATTGGTCACTGCAAGTCCGACTGAGAAACCAGTGTCATTGAAATAATGACCAATAGACAAAAATCAATCAAGTCCCAATGCAATGTCAGCAGAAAGTCCACCCATTCTAACCAACTTCAAATCCACCTCAAATATACCTTCACAGCACATGATAGCAAGAGATGTATCTCCCAATGCAGAATGAAATAGAGTTAGTGAATGAAAAGAACTGAAATCAAGCACAACAGTATATATTTTTCCTCTGACAACACAAGTTGTAGATAGTATAGTGAAGAACAAAGCAGGCATAAATATTGCTGACCATTTGGCTTGTCTTGCTAAACTGGTCCATGCTGAGCCATGCCACATTGCAGCAAAAGGCAGAAAGTGTCTTTTAGGTAGAAAAACCCACACCACAGAATATCAAAGATAGGAGGGAGCTGACTGAATCAGATTTCACAAATCTACTGTAAAAAGTGGTATTGTTAGTGAAATACAAGTGCCTACTACCAAGGTAGTGGGAATTAAGACTGAATCCAGATCTTGCATTAGGATGATCTAAGTATCCAACAATAATTATCTACTCTTAACTTATCAATTTACCCTGTGTGAATCTGAGAATCCAAGCCAGCCATGCTTAGCACTTACTGGATCAATCAGTCATCCTCTCAACTACACTCAGTGCTCATCAACTTAACTCCCTTCTCAAATCCTTTCCTTGGTAAAGGAACTCAACTATATTTCAAATACTTAGCTACATATACATTTACTACACTAACTCATGTATTCATAACAAAAGAGATGGCGAGGGGATTCAAGAACAAGATTCAGCAAGGTCATACTCGCCCCCGCACATGGCGGGCACTTGATGAGCAATGTCATGAGTTGATGATATTCCTGATGCCTCTCGGTGCTGTTGAACTTGTAATATCAAGAGGGACATCGCTAGGGGTTATGCTAAGAGACGGTTGCTACAATCTCAATATTAACTATACCTCCTGCCTCATCAACCAAGTAGCGAGCAACCATGCGGCGCACAACACAGAAGACCTTCGGACCCTTGGCAATTAATCGTCGTCCATTAACTTCCGTAACAAAGAATGCTCACCACGGCAACAAATGGAAGGCAAACGCCTTCGCCAGCTCCATCGGGAACGCCAATCGTACGACCAGCATTATTTCCACCGGCACATTGCTCGACGCGACACCAAGTTTGCCTTGAGAAATCAGAAATCATCGATGGAACGCACTCAACAGCGACGAGGAGCGAATGAAGCCTGGAAAGGAAACCGGGATGAGGTCCAAGGGAACATTTTCCGATGTTACGCGCTGCGACGAAGACGTGCCGTGCCCGTGGAGTGGAATCTAAACCCCGCACACAGCCGCTATATCCAGCGATCCCATGATTTTCGGCGAGTAGTGATGGTCGCCGCCTCGTTCGCCCTGAAGCCCTTTACCCCGGCCGCTGGGTTGCCTCGTCAATGATAGACGGCCAAGTTTGGAAGTACAGGATGTTAATCATCCTGACTGTTGAATGCATGGGAATACCGCGGCCAAGACAAGCACCCATAAGGAGTCGTCCCGATGACGGAAAGTTGATTTTACGAGACTCGAGGCTGTTCTCCCATGCACGTTAATCCAAGATAAAGGATTACGCCGCCGCGGGTGTGTAATTTGAAACACGGCGGAAGCAAAATAGCATCGTCCATTCATCGGTGAGGGGTGGGTGCAATCATTATACGGCGGGAAGTGGGATGATGCGTCATAGATTACGATGGTGCGATCCGCGATCCGTGTAGCCTTTGTGTTGTAGTAAACCGACGACGAAGAGCTCGGAGGATGAGCAACGTGTCGAAACGCGACAAATACAAGGCGACAGGAAATGTCAATTGATTTTTGCCAGCTGTAACTGTGCAACCCTGAGAGCGTCCAGGAAGGGAGATGAGGCATTGTGTATCCCAGGGGAGGGAGAGTCCAGACCCAGAGTGCCTGGTCGGATGCAAGGGCAATATTGAATGGGGAGTAGGAGGTCTAGACTCGCGGGGAGCAGAAGCGGTGACCACGGTTCGGAGGTATAAAGTCAATGTCGCAGTTTTCTCGAAGATTAAAGGGTGGTAGTTTCTGGAATTCAAGGGTACTTAATGCACGATTCGCGGCAACGGTAGCTGATTCGGACCCATTCCTTAGTGCGAACAAGTATGCGTCATGGATCGACGGGTGTGAAATAGCGACCAAGAGGCAGTGAAGACGTTCCTGTGGATAGAAACAAAGATGAAATGAGCGAGTTTGTGTGAAAGTGCCAAGGAGACACGTTCCTGTTCGCGTGAAATGAAGATGAAAGGGCAGAATAAGCCGGACAGAAAAGAAACGCTACGAAAGCACAGGTTCTAAAAAGAGACGAGGTCTAGACCTGAGAAGCCGGCGTGTCCCGGAACAAAGGCCTAGACCTGTCTCGGCCACGTTGCATCTAGACCGTCTCAGAAGACTGTGGGTCTAGACAGGGGTGGGTGCACAGTGGTAGCTGCTGGTCCCGTACAGAATGGAATATTCCTCAGAGCGATGTAGATAGAGAGAAAGTCATATATACACGAGTGCTGCAAAGAGAGACTGAGCAAAAAAAAGAACGGAAGGAAAAGAAAGGAAGGAGGCAGAAAAAGGCAGCAAATGATGTGATGTGAATTTGATCAGGACAGACGCGGGCACAAATACATAACCAGGGCCCTGCTCTGACCATCAGAGCTAGCATCTCCGTCCGCTTATTATACATGGACGACTCGTCGCAATCTAGACAGCTCTTCCCGCCTCTCAACATTAACCTCCCTCCATTCCGCTCTCAGCCTCAGCAGTACCAGTCGCCACAGCACGAGTACTCACAGCAGGCTCAGCAGTACCAGCAGCAGGAATACTGGCAACAGCGTACATCCAGCTCGAGGGATGATATACACCAGCAGCAGGATATCAAACCAGTGATGCAGACTCAGCAGCCAAAGCAGGAGGGTGGTGTCGAAGATGGAATGCCCTCAACAAGTGATTTTGTCAAGAAGCTCTACAAGTGTGTCGCTTTCTTTGTCCTTCTTTCCCATCGTTGACCTACAAAAACAGGATGCTAGAAGATCAATCTTTCCAACACGTCGTCTCATGGGGACCCCAAGGCGACTGTTTCGTGGTCAAGGTAACTCGCCTCTTTCATCCCCCTCGCCACTCAATGCTAATCCCATACACCCCTAGGACATGAACGAATTTACAAAATCAATCCTACCACGCATGTTCAAGCACTCGAATTTTGCCTCGTTTGTGCGCCAACTGAACAAATATGACTTTCACAAAGTCAAGAATACCGACGATAACCAATTCGGCGAACATGTGTGTACAATATCTCTATTTTCTTTCTGTTTTCTTACCCGTCGTTATAGAGCTGGACATTCCGTCACCCGGACTTCCATGCCGACCGGCGCGATGCCCTCGAAAACATCAAGCGCAAGGTCCCCACATCGCGGAAATCGCTTCCCGCTCCACAACCGACATCCTCACGACCTCTACCGTCATCACTCGCCTCACCGTCGGCATCACAGACCGACTACTTGCAAGCACAAATAGAGCGCCTTACACAAGCGCAGGAAGAGATGTCGGCGCATGTGCGAAATCTAGAACGGAATTACCACGACGTGCTCGTGGAGATGGTTGGGTTCCAGCGTAATATGGCGCAGCAGGACGGGCTCATGCAGAACCTGATTCAGTATTTCTTGCAAGTCGAGAATGGTGAGTGTCGTTGAATGATTACTTGCCCCACCATTCCCCTTGTCGTTGCTTCGTGTGTTGTCGTCCTGTCCGCCATATTTCTCATTCGTCATACCCAGAAAACAATTATGGATGAGCGAAACGACGCGCTCATTTCTTCTCCCTTTTCTTTTATATTTTATTATACGATATATCCACCGTCATTTTGACCCCCACCTCTCCATTTTGTCGCTCTGTATCAAAATCTACCTGTGTACTGACTACGTGTTTGCTTTTCTATAATACCTTCAAATTTCATCAATACAAATCTCTTATAAAATTACTCAGGCAAATCGAAACGCGCATCCTCGTCTCAACAACCAGCGATGCTACAATCACCTTCCGACCCATCCTCCTCAAATCCGAATCCGTTCCTACAGCAACACGAAACACTCCGGATGATGAACCCAGATAGCGACGTTGCACGCGCTTCCCTCATGCAATTAAACGAAATTTCCCGGCGGCAAATGGAATTTTCCCAGCAGCCCTCTTCTTCCTCTTTTGACGACCGGCCGCCTTCGCGGATATGGACTGCTGCCGCCAACGCAGGGCTCATCAACCCCGACGGGTCTGTCAAAGGCGCGCCTCCTGTTCCGTCTATATCAGGCGAGAAGATTACGTCGCGAGTGGATGCCCTGCAGCGTATCGAGGAGCTGCAACGGCTGCGCATGGGGAGCGCACCGCCCAATATCCCACCCCTACCGCCGCCTCCCCAACCACAAGAGGAGATGGTCATGCCCACGTCGTCGTCAGGGTCGCTCACCTCACCAGAGGGCACCCCGCCGTCGTTTGCCTGGCCTGAAGAGAACGACATGGGCCAGATTGGTGGTGGTGATCCAGGTAACCAAGTGGCTTCTGCAGGGCACGAGGGTCTGCAGGTGTATACCGTTGGACACCTCATGCCGAAGAGCGCAGTGGATGACACGAATGGGAACTGGACATATGACTCGACGATGTGGGATCCCCAGCAGCAGCAACAGCAACCACAGGCAAGCACGTCGCAGCAGTCGCTCCAGCCCTCGTCGTCGTCGTCTCAGCAACGACTCCGGGTGCGTCGAAGCACGTACGTTCCAGGGTGGGCAGTACCACCGCGAGTCCTACTCGTCGATGACGACGCTGTGAGCCGGAAACTGAGCAGCAAGTTTCTCCAAGTGTTTGGGTGCACGATCGACGTTGCCGTGGACGGTGTCGGTGCAGTGAACAAGATGAATTTGGAGAAATACGACTTGGTATTGATGGTACGCGTCTAAATGCCTTTATCTGCCTCCGCACTCACGCCTCTCCCAGGACATCGTGATGCCAAAACTAGACGGCGTGTCCGCAACGTCGCTAATCCGGAAGTTCGACCATATGACGCCGATCATCAGTATGACGAGCAACTCGAAGCCAAACGAGATCATGACATACTACTCGTCTGGGATGAACGACATTCTGCCGAAGCCGTTTACGAAGGAAGGGCTGCTGGGTATGCTAGGAGAAGCACCTGATGCACCTCAAGGTGATCCAGGAGATGGCGAGCGCGAGGGTATCGCGGCCGTTGGGCCCAGGGGAAGTCGGGCCGTACATGGGTAACGGGAATGGGAACGTGGAGGTGGACAACGAAGGACGGGTGAATCCCCTAGCGGGTATGGGCCTCACGGACGAGCAGTATAATATGATCCTGCAGAATATCGTGAACGGGGAGACATTCGTGGGAGAGAAGCGGCCTTTGGAGGAAGACGACGACGGACGGGAAGGCAAGCGGAGTCGATTCGAGGTGATTGAGTAGACATTTTGTATCGATACTACTATCTTTTATTATTTTATTGTATACGGTATAGTAATGACGAACCCCCTGTCACATCCCGGGCCGGATTACGATACACGTGCATACTAAGAAAAAAAGTTACTAACAGCCGGGGTCGCGTTTAAACTGTCATGTCACAGGAAGCGTCGTCGAGCAAATCTGTGCTCCCGGCGCATTCATGGCTGCACTTTGTTGCTGGAGGGTGAGCCATTTTTTTGCTTTTCCACCTTTGAGTTTTAACGAATGTTTCAGTCTTGGAGGGATGTGCGGTGCAATTGTAACGAGCCCATTCGACGTTGTCAAGACCCGACTACAATCTGACCTATTTCGTGTAAACGCGACGGCAAGTGTTGGGACTGGCGGTGGCGTGCTCATCGCCTCTGCACCCAAACCCGGAGGGTTGCTCTGGAACTTTGTCGAGACGGGACACATCCTGCGCGACATCTACCGCACCGAATCGCCCAAAGCGCTCTTCAAAGGACTCGGTCCCTCACTAGTGGGTATCATTCCCGCGCGGTCAATCAATTTCTTCACGTACGGCAACGGGAAAGAGGTGATCGCGCGGACGTTCAACGAGGGGCGGGAGAACTCGTATGTGCATCTGTGTGCTGCTGCGATAGCGGGAGTCGTGACGGGGACGGCGACGAATCCGATATGGGTGGTGAAGACGCGGTTGCAGCTTGTGCAGGGCAAGGGAGGGAGCTGGGAAATGATCCGCCATATTTTTAGGGACGAGGGGGTGCCGGGATTTTACAAGGGGCTCAGTGCGAGTTATCTTGGTGTCACGGAGGGAACGATTCAGTGGGTGCTTTATGAACGATTGAAGAAGATGAGTGCGAGTACACAGGGCAAGGGTGGTTTGCAGGAATGGCTGGGTATGCTGGGCAGTGCAGGAACGGCGAAATGTGTGGCTAGTCTTATTACTTATCCTCATGAGGTATGTTACAGTGGTTTGAAGTTACACTTTCTCTCACTGTCTTCAGGTTATTCGAACACGACTACGACAACCAAAAGTCGACGGACGGGTCAAATACAGCGGTCTGATACAAACACTAAAATTGGTTATCAAAGAAGAGGGAGCAGCATCCTTATACGGTGGACTGAGTGCCCATTTACTGCGAGTAGTGCCGAATGCTGCAGTGATGTACTCGATATACGAAGGTATCCTACGACTCGCCCAGTAAAATAACAAAAAAGTAGCAGTAGTAGTAGTAGTATATTTATTTCTAGAATCACTCCTCACGTAATACACAGCTATCTGTACCACCACCACCATCATCAACATGGGTGAAGTCGTCAATGTCGCCGTCGCGTTTCTCGTCATTGTCTTTATCTTTCGTTGGGCGACGAATTCAGGCAGGTTGTCGTTTCGCTAGTATGGTATTGGCTGACTGTTAGCAGGAGATAAGGGTACCGTCGATGCACTCGGATTCAGACCAAAGAAAGTCACCCAGGAAATGGTGAGGATCATCGGAGGAAGGAATAACGAATGCTAACTAGTGGTAGATGGATGCAGTAACAGCAGTGTTCCCTGATATCCCTCCGTACGTGGCCATTGAACCCCGGGTAATCTCCCGCTCACGAGCAGTCAAGAGACAACATCCGATACGACCTACTCAAGACAGGCAGCGTCGAGCAAACAACCAATAACATCCTCGAACGTGGCTTCCTTGATGCCCCTCCTGCCCAATACTACAACGTCTACCCCCGCCAGTCGCCCGCCCCCGCCCCGCCCCAAATACCGACACCGGCACCATCCCCTCCAAAAAAAGAAACACTCATATCTCGCTATGGCCTCCACAACCGCCTCGCTACAGAACCCTCTATTCCAGAATCAGAGATTGGCGGCAAGGCAGTCTGGGAGGACAGCGCAGAGAAACGGGAGGCTAGCTTGAGGGAGCGCAAGGCAAAGATGATCCTCGCTGCTCGACAGTAAGTTTTCTTTTCATGCTACCTTTCCCTGCTTATTGGTTTTCAGACGGCTCCTTGCAAAAGAAACATCATAACAACAAGTAGTACATATACATTTGTGTTAAGTAAATAAAGAATGGTATTACCTATGACGCCGCTCGCTTCCTGATAATCCTCTCTGGCCGCTTCAATATCGCGTCGACCAGCAACTCGCTCACATCGTCGTCGTCGTCATCAGCATCGTCTCTTCTCCTCCGTCTTCCTCTCTCCAGCGGGTACCACGCCCCGATATTCGGCGTCACCAGTGCAGCATACGCTTGCATCTGGTACATTAACTGGTGAATCTGCGCCTGCATCTCTGCCTCTCGCCGCCTCCACCCTTCCCTCTCCCACCGCATCATCTCCTCATATCGCTCCAGCGACTCTCGCGCTTGCTCCTCCCTCTGACGCGCTTCCTCGAGCAGCTGCGTCGGCGTGCTGTTTAGCGTGGGAAACTCGATGGGTTCCTCGGGTATCGATTCGGGACAGAGCTCCACGTCAGGCTCTGACGGTGACGAGGGCGGGAGGGTAGTCGTCGGCGACGCAGGTGTGTCAGGCTCCTCCCGACTCGAGCTCGACACACTCCTCGTCACTTCTAGCTTCTCCAGCATCTTCTTGCCCTTGACGCCCTTGAACGGGTCCTTGCCTCGTCGTCTCCTCTCTTTGCTCCTCGCAGACTGAGCCTTGGTTACAGGCACAGGGTCAGGGCATCGCTCTTCTGCCGGTACCGTCAGCTCCACCCTTTCCCACTGACAACCAGCACACTCACCAGTACCCTCCACCATGCCCTTCCTCCAATAAAAGACGGCCACAAGTGTCGTGGTAGCGAGCAGCAGCAGCAGCATCATCATCACCTCCAGGTACATCATCGTGGCTGCATGAGAGAGAGGGGGAGAGAGAAAGAGAGAGAGTCACTCTCAAAAGTAAATGGGAAGCTCGAAGCGCGCCACGTGGTCGAGGGACCGATGCATATGACGGACTTTAATTCAATTCACTCCGTTTCCTCTTTCGTCCACGTATCCCTTTCCACGGCTCCATCCTCGCACGGACCTCGGAACTCGCTCTCACTCACTCACTCGGCTCCGTTACAATTTCACAATTTCCATTTTTAAACAACGCTTTGTATTTTTACGGCCCCCCTGCGAGCCCTAGTATCCTCGACACTGCTTGCTCAGCCATTGACATTACCATTCCTTGTGGATTCCCCATCGGTAATGCCGGAACCTGAACAAACAAAATCGTCAACAAACAATGCTATTCTTAGCCAACACCCCCCAAATACTCACGATCGAAGCCTATAAAAAGGTCAGCCAGCGTTCATAGTCGTAAAAATACCAACCACTCACATCAACAATAAAAAGGTTATTAGTTCCAAACACTTTCGTATTCTCATCCACTACAGCTCCTATAGAATTCGCTCCAACCCAATGGTTCGACCCGAGCGATCCCTACCAAACGTTCTATTCAAACTTACCGTCCCGCAAAAACACCGAAGACTCACCACCGAATAATCAAGCACTAGGCCCCCCTCGTCAGTCAGTCTTCTCCTTCCGGAAGCTAAACCAAATACAACGCACCGTAATTTTCCATAGTCGTCGTATTATCCGGCGTGATCATCTTCATCCCACTAACTGCCGCTCCCCATCAGCCAAATCACGGCCCCTCAACAGAAAGATTCCCACCTACCTAGCGGCATACTCGACACGATCTCGTTCAGACCCTGAAGAAGCGCCTCCCTGTCAATCTCATCCACAAACCATGGGTTCACCAAAGCCCGGGCCGTAAGCGCGGCATCGATCCCAATTCGTCCTCGGGACGTCAGGCCCGTCGATCTAAGAAAGGAGAAAGGAACCATCATCAGCCAAGTTAACCCCATGTTCACGAAATACCCACAAGTACGCCGTAATCGTAAAGATCTGACTGTGTAAGTAGTACAGTTGGAATAAGTCCCGACCGCAAGAGCCATATGTAAGAACTCACCTTGCATTGTATGGATACACGGTATCTACCGAAGCAGCTCCAGGCCTGACAGTTCCCTTGCATCTAGACCAAAAGAGTCATAAGCTAATCATCCGTCCCAAGTGCTTCCCCACTCACCCAACGAGTCTTTCCATCGCTCCCTGAAAGGGCTCGCCAAAAGTTTACTCTAATCAATGGAGCTCAACTCGTTATCACCAGTAAAACACCAACTCCTCACCTTGGCGAAGCCTGGGCCAATACCCCAGCCCGACTAGCCAAATACTGATCTGCATCGGCCACACGCGGGTCACTCCAAACAGTCGCCCAATTATCATACGCATCCACCGACGGATGCGTAAATACCAACTATACAGCTGTCAGCCTCAAACCCCCCACACTAAACACCAAGCTGACCCACATTAATCGACGGATTATCCGATACCTGTACACAACCCACCATCAACACCACCGACAAAAGCGTAAGCGTGACACACTCACATTATATCCCACCGGCAACTCAATCCAGTCCTGCCTCATCCGGCAGCTCCAACCCCGCATTCTGTACAACCCCAATCATATCCCCCGGCCCGATCCCGCTCCTAAACAGCACCCTCGAACTCCCAAACGACCCCGCAGCGAGGATAACCCTCCCGTTCGCCGTCAGCGGCACCACCCCATCAGGACCCAACGACGTATCGTTCGTCGCAACACCCGTAATCTGCCCGCCGTTCCTCACCACATTGAGCACGTACACCCATTGCTTGAACGTAAAATTCGACCGTGCCTTGGCAGTGCGGAGGTACGTCGCGACGGGGCCTCCACGTTGGCCGTCGATGAACTACCACGAGGACGGCGTGAGCAAGCGAAGACAAGGACGGACCGTACTCACGGAAAACGCGCTATACCCATATATGTGGTCCTTGCTATTAGGATCATCATTAATCGTTACCTGTCTATATCCCTGATACCCTAGCAACGACGCCGTCACATTCATCGTCTGCTCCAGGTAGCGCTGCCCGTCCATCGACGGGTGATCCGTGCTAGGGAGTCGCTGCTTCAGTTTCGCCGTGTACGGCGTGTGGTTTCCCCACGATGACGGCCAGCCTTGTGTCGTGGAAAAATCAGAGTCGGCAGGGTACCAGTACAGTCTGTAAGGCGTCAGAATAGTTATTATTACATGAAACTGAATACGCGCACCCCCCGTTGACAGACGTCCCGCCTCCAACGAGACAACCAGCAAACGTATTCACATCTGGACCAACAATCAACTCAATTCAAACAGAACAACACCCTCCACCTACCTTTACACCACCAAAACGGGTTACTATCCGTAAACAACGTCTCTACTCCAATTCAGAATTCCTTCATCCACAAAAAATACACAGAGACTCACCAAACAACCCAGGTACGTCAAATTTCGTCAGCTAGAGACGGCTTGAGTACATTGACCCAAAACGATCAATCAGCAACCAACCTGTTGTCCATCAGCCCAATCAGGTGAATACCGCCCTCCCGTCTCCCACGTACTTGGACCTCCCCTGTCTAGCAACAGCACATTCTTACCTGCCTCGGACAACCGATCAGCAGCGATGATACCCCCAGGTCCGGCACCAACGATAATATAATCGTATGGCGTCGCCTAGAATCACCCTCCATCAGCCCCAAGCCCACTAAAAGGAAAAACACACTTACAGTAACAGTAGCCGTCGCAGAAGTAGTCGTTGTCGTAGTCGTTGTCGTCGACGACGACGTAGGCGTTCCAGTCCCAGTACCCCCAGCAGCCCAATTCGCATAATCAGATGCCGACGCATGGGCAGCCGAGAAATCCAGACCGTAAAACCCAACTGTTCATTATCAGACCCTTTCATTGGAAACAGTAGAGGAAAGATTACAGTCGGTGTGCTCCTCGAAAGTACTCTGCGAATCCGAGGGGTCACTACAAAGTACGCGTCAGTACGTGAAGGGTAAGTCCAGATTGAGTACTCACTCCACGGGAACGTCGCTAAACACCCATGCAGGAGCTCCAAACGACGACGAATCCAATCCTCCACCATCCCAGGCTAGGTGGGTACATCAGTAAACAAAAGTAACCCGACACCAACAAAACCCAACTGACTTAGTACAATTCTCACACCGATACACCCACTTCCAATGCGTCGAATTCACCTTTGTACTCGGTAAATCCGTCAGGATCGGTCCGAACCATAGCCCTAATCAATCTCCTCAACCAACGTCCCTCATCCCCAGCAAAAAAAGGAGAGAGAACTCACAAGCGGCTGTATATAATCCGTAGCCCACCTCGCACTACTCACCACCTCATCCCCGTTCGCCCAAGCTACGAGCAATATATTCCGGATCATCGCGCCCACAGGACTCACCCCCGACCACTCCGTAGCGATGGGCGCGACAATCTCGCCAATGAACTCTGTCGCGCCCGAGTCCAGTGGGGGGAAGACATAACCAAACTGTCACCTCATGTACCGGGTCCGTCAAGCCGTAGAACGTTATCCCATTATCAGGATCGACGTACTGAGTACCGAGTTGGGCGTGCGCTAAGGAGGAGAACCAAATAAGAGGAGAGAACCAAGCGGAGGAATAAACTAAGACTAACCCGTCCGAAGGAGAGCCAGACCCACAGCCAGAATGCACCCAAGAAGACGCATCGTTTCGTATTGATACGCACGTCAAAACCAACTGTGGTAGTTTTTAACTACTGTCCCGTATGCGAGGAACTTCCGTGGGCGTGGACGTGGTGTATCTCGATTGAGGGTTGGGATGAATGCTCTGGTTGGCGCGTGATGCTGGGCGGATAATTGGCTAGCGTGCGACGTGGCAGGGATGATTGAAGGACACTTGGATACACCATGTCAGGGTGCCGATAAAGTCCCGATGGATATCCAGACTGGTATGATAGTGCAGGGCGAAGCAGGGAGCAGGTATGCTGGCTTCAGAGGTATCTCCGGATATGGGGTTATTAAAGGGTAAACCTGGACTAGCTTGAATGTACAACATCGTAGCGAAGGAGAACGCATCTTTTAGACAGCGATGAGTGACGTCTTAGAGATAATGAATAGCTAAACAGGACCTCTTCGTTAGCTGTGTTCGCCTCAAGAAAAGCAAATATCACAAGCAATTTTACCTTTCAAAAACACAGAAGATATCCCGACATGTATTTCAAAAGGTCCGTATCCAAGCGCTAGCTAGTCCCATGGCACAGGAAAGCCAGTCTTCATAAGTAGTTTATTCGAATTCGGCACTTCTATCACTGCATCGTGCGAAAGTGCCAAGAAATCGCAAGGTGCATTCATTGGATAATAGGTAGGTCAGGGTGGGTCATGTACTGCGAAACCAGCACGCGTAAGATGGGATACATCATGACGAGAAATAATAGCACACCTAAATTTATGATAGAAGTCGTAAAAATAACGAGTAGAAATAGCAAGACTACCACGTGAATCCACCATAGAGATACACACCCTCACATTCGGAAGCAAGGAAGCAGGCTTGCGCAATCAGAGTCGGCGAAATCAGGATGTTCCGTAATGCGAGAAAGAGCCAGCTAGCGGATCTTGTATCCCTTCATGCCAGAATTAATAGATCCTCGTTAAAATAACCCGTAGTGCGCAGCAACCATGGGACGACGCAGAGACAAACACTCTTTACACAATGTCGTCAAAGAGACCTGCTACAAGATTCTTATTGAATAGTAGCAGAAAAGGGTAGCATGGGAGGACGGGTAGCCGACATAGTCGTTCGAGTTTAGCTTGAAGTGGATTATCATTATGGAAACGAAGTGACCAGGGTGGCTGTGCATGCATCTCGATGACGCATTGATGCCTTCGTCTTTAGATTAGACACTTAACGCCATACCTCCACTGCAAAACCGAGAACCACTGCAGTACTACCACCAAATATCCGTACCCATCGACGAAGCACCCTCTCCCCTCTCGTCCAATTCATCCGATGAATCCTAGTCCACCTGACGGCATCATCCCAATATTGTACGGGAACCATAGGAAGCTACACGATGATGGTGGCAATCATGAGGTGGACTGCCTCGAGGCAAGGTTGCCATGCCAAGCCTGTACCCGGACTCTTGTCGTACATCCGAGAGGCCCCCACCTGCAATCGTATTGGAGGACCGAACCCCGTCTGAACGTTCCTAGGGATCCTGGCGCGATAACGAGGTACTGATGTCTCGTGAGTTTGTCATGACGTATCTCGACCTCGAGGTGTGTCTACAGTTCTCCCCTCCTTACCGTGTCTGACAGTTCTTTAGAAAAACAAGCCTGCACTGGACTCAGACGACGACCGTTCCCTCGTATTTCTCCAGACAATCATCCTAGTTACCTTGCTCCACGAGCTCACTCACACTCTCATGAACAAGATCTTCAGCGGCCACCTTGATTCCTTTTTCAAAAGCGGAGACATCCTGCGCGATATCGTGGAACACGAGAGATCTCTATTCGTTGGCTCGGTCTTGTGCGTCGAATGGCTCCAGTTCGAAGCTGCGGGTGAACAAGATTCGAAGTATATGTTCGCAGCCAGTTCAAACTGGGGAAGGGCTTCACAATGTTTGTGAGTGCATTCGGCCTTTGGGATAAGTTGGCTTTTCACTGATTTCTGTTAGTGGTGGAGGTCCTGAGAATGATGCTGGGTTCTATCGACCGGAGCGAAATCTTTAGCCCAGTGCATTCACTCCGAGATGTGAAGCATACCAACACTGTCTCTGCTGACGACAGCGCGAAGCGAATGCATGCATCACACCTGAATATTCACTGCCGGTGCTCAATCAGTGGACGACACCTCAGCCTGTCACTGAATTAGGCCTGGATTCTATCGTCGTCGAATCAGCTTGTGGTTCGTGATAGCACTGTCCTGCGTGCTGATCTTCCTTTGAAAATGTACTTATTATTAAGAGAGGGGACATCCCACCCGACCGTGGTTCAGGCCTCAGGGAGAAATTTTGGGACTTTGAACATCCGGAAGGGTCGCTTTACGAAATCAAGGAAGCCGTCCTTGGTCTTGAGGAAAGATCAAGCGTACTGGATATCAATGTAAATACAATACACAATGTCATTCATTGATGTTGCTGCTCGTATCGGGCTTGGTTCTTTTCCATCACATTACTCGCGACTTCGCCTGCACCTATCAATTCTCACTCCGACTTGCTGGTACCCTTGTTGATCTCCTTTCCTTTCTCTCAGAATATCCTACGTGGTACCACAACTGGTGACTGTAACAAAAGAATCGCGAGTGACTATCCCTTTTTCTGGTGGGATCCCGGGACCAGATGAATGCCTATCAAGACTCCGTACTCAGCATCTAAAACCGTTTTTGCAAAATCATATCTCGGTATATCAACAGGACTCTCAACGGATATGATATTACTTCCACCATCAGAAACTCAGAACAATCATCACGTCGGACGGGTCATCTGAGTGCAGTAAATCGACGTTCAACCATCGCAAGGGCCGACGACACGACGTTTGGAGAGAGCGGGAGGTGGGAGAGGCTTGGGTACGTCCTCTGACTCATTCTTCAACGCTTATGCTAACCACTTAAAAGACACTTAGAATCAACAGAGACGTCTACGCCCCATCTCCTTGCACAGGCAATTGAGATGTACTCCAAGGCGCACTAGTGGGTTTCTATTCTCATCAGAATCCCCTTAACCTTCACAGACTTGATATACTTGATGGTATCGCATAGACCAAGCACATCCTCGGAAATTTCTCTGCATCCTCTGCGTCGAGCAGAGGATCAAACGTCTGATGAGTCGGATAGAGTAGAGGAAGAGGTAAAGGGACAAGGATGAGAGTCAAGGTCATCGCAGATACAACGTTGAAGAACCTTCGTATACACACGGTCTCATAATAGTATTAAATTTCATTCCCCTCCAGCCTTCTGAGAACATCAAGCACCGGCCTCATAGGATACACAGCAGCCGGCAGATCATCTTGATCAAACTCAAACGCACGATACTTGAAGCATCCAATGTACTCCTCTTTCTCTTCACGCATAAACGTCTCAGCCGTAATACCCTCCTTTCTAAACGCCTCAATCACCCTGCCCTTCTCAATCCCCAACGCCTCGCTCATCGTCAACACCTGCGCAGCCGTAAACCCAAACGTCTCCTGCATCGCAGCAGCAGTCGTATAATCCTTCCCAAGATTTCCAAGTCCATAGTTGCACTTGTACTCCCGAGGTACAGACTCGCCGACAATGAACACCCTATCGAGTCGCCCATGATCGATCAAAGAACCCACATTGCAGAAGAATTCGTCGTGTAGGCAAACATCTATTTCCGATTTGGTGTCCTCGTCAAGGTGCTCGTGAAGGAAAGGAGCTGTGTAATTATCCACAAGCATGTAGAGGGGATGCGGAGAGAGAAAGATTTCCTCCTGTAACGGTGGCGATCAGATGACGATATAAGTAAAAAGGAGGTGCATACCAAAGCTCCACTAAAGCAGGATCGCGCAGACCTATATGAAAGACAGATTCTCTTCTTGCGATCAGAGATGTGGATCTCTTCCCGGTACTTGTCAAAGAACCTCCGTAACTCTTCGCAGACAAACTCCTTCAATGCTCTTGCAGCATACATGTACGTCCGACTGTACCCACACGAACTCGAATCTTCAGGCTTATAGTCATCTTCAGTGCGAGCAAAGGGCACGAGTTCCGCGAGGTCAAGTCGAAGAATATGATGATTATTGGCATTCGGAAGAGGGATGTTGTCTGCAAAAGGGGCAAGCCGACGACTCCTTGCGTGATGAATATCGTGGAGATGGGCTAGGGCAGATAGCCATGTCGTTTTGCCGCAGCCTGGGGGGCGACGGACGACGCCAAAAAAATTGATACCGTGTTCTTCCATAGAGAGAGTCGTTGAAGTCTTGTCGACGTAGAGACGGCCTGGCGTCAAGACTAGTTCGCGAAAATCCGTGCATTGGTCGGGAGGTAGATGCAAGTTAACGGAACTAAGCTCAGGGTTCGTATAAACGCCATTTCCAAGGTCTTTGCGAGTATGTTCGTGTATAATCTTAGGAGGCTTCTTGTTGCGGGCTCTACCGGCAGCAACGGATAACTGCTAGATATACCGTTGCGGGGTCTGGATCACATCAGCCGTCGCCAGAAGGGTATCACGAAGAACATACCAAGCTTTTCGATATCAAACATCAACTCAATAGCTCGAGGTATGTCGTCGTCCTGCACGGACAGGAAAATGCAGCGCCAAGGGATCCTCATCGTTGAGCTTGACAGCCTCGGCTGGGCGAGCATCAAGGAGCGTTGCGCCTACAGGAAAGCCGAGCGTGCATTTCCATGCAGTTCTGAGGCGAGTCGCGTGGCAATAGTGGCAAGAAATGTCGTGGATTCGCTGTACACGGTCACGCAGCTGTTCGATGGTCGCGTTTGGGGTGAGGCCAAGGTTTTTTGACGACGACAAGTAGACTTGGTGACCGTTGTGGCCTGCTAACGCAAGAAAGAAACTGGGAGCTGACATTGTGGATAAGAGCAAGGTAGGGTAATAGGCTTGAGTTTGGCAAGGGCGGGTGCCTGGATACGCGACATGTCCGACACTCACTATGACCACCTGTCGAACGACGAGCTAGCTGAAGAGTCGACCTGCAGAAGGAGCCTCAATTGTCCATTCCCTCGAGCTGACGTTCATGCAGCATCGGAGTTTACAGTATCAATTTGGACGCCGATAATGAACTCGATTCAGAGCCGTAGCCGAATCGGACCTTTTAGAAGATTCGGCTTGGGTCCGGAAAGACTGTTTGGTATTTTACGAACGACGAGAATCATATACTTGACCTTCAAGGTTTGGTTTGAAATCCTTGTGCTGCTGAATTACCGAACAGCCGTCTTATCCATGCCAATATACCAGAGAAGGAATTGTATTGTAAAAGGAAAAAAAATAGAGCTCAAAGATAAAGACGCGATACAGACATTGACATTATAGTTCGCTCGATATAACGTATACATAGGTATTAATGACTACATCAAATCTCGTTCCCCGACAGCCTCCTCAGAACGTCAAGCACCGGCCTCATAGGATACACAGGCGCCGGTGGATCATCTTCATCAAATTCAAACAAACGACACGTTACCCACCCATAGTAGTATCCCTCTTCCAATTTGCGCACAAACGTCTCAGCCCTAACACCCTCCCTCCTCAACACCTCAACCACCCTACCATTCTCAACCCCCAGCGCCTCACTCATCGTTATCACCTGCGCAGCCGTAAACCCAAACGTCCCCTGCATCGCAGCCGCATTCGTACAATCTTCCCCAAGCCGCCCAAGTCCATAGGTAAACTCGTACTCGCGAGGTACAGACTCGCCGATGATGAACACCCTATCGAGTCGCCCAAGATTGATCAAAGGTCCTACGATACAGAAGAACTCTTTATATAGGCAAGCATCTATCTGCGATTTAGTGTCCTCGTCAAGGTGCTCGTGAAGGAAAGGAGCTGTGTAATTGTCGATGAGCATGTAGAGGGGATGTGGAGAGAAATATTTCCTCCTGTAACAGTGATCATTAGAAGATGAAATGAGTAGGGAGAAATGCATACCAGAGCTCTTTGGAAGCAGAATTTCGCAGACGGGGGTGAAAAGCAAAACTCCTTTTTGCTATCGGATATGTGGATCTCTTCCTGGTACTTGTCAAAGAACTTCCGAAACTTTTCGCAGATAAAGTTCTTCAATGCTCTTGCAGCATACATGTACGTCCGACTATACGCAGGCGAGCTCGAATCCTCGCGAGTATAATCAGCTTTAGTGCGAACAAAAAGCACGAGTTCTGCAAAATCGAGTCGAAAAATATGATGCCTGTTGGCTCCCGGAAAAGGGACGTCATCGGCAAAGGGTGCAACTTGCTGATGGTCTTTTGCGTGATGAATGTCGTGGAGGTAGGCCAAGGTAGATAGCCATGTCGTTTTGCCGCAACCTGGGGGGCGACCAACGACACCAACGAAACCAGGATCTTCGATAGTGATAGTCACCAAAGTCTTATCGACGTAGAGACAATCTTGAGTCGAGACTAGCTCGCGAAAGTCTGCACATTGGTTCGACGGTAGATGCAACTTGGAAGACTCAAAGGGTGTATAAACGCCGTTTCCAAGGTCTCTACGGTTATGTTCGTGTTTGATCTTGGGAGGCTGACTGGCTTGGATAGCAAGGGCCTCTGCTCTGGCCTCTGGAAACAGCGTCTCATAGTCTAAATCGCATTAAGTAGCTATCACCAGAAGGGTATCACACATCACATACCAGGCTGTTCGACGTCAAACACCAACTCAATAAGTCGAGGCTTCTCGTCATCCGCACGAACTGGAAAATGCAGCGCTAAGGGGTCCTCATCATTGAGCTTCACAGCCCCAGGCGGCACAGGGTCGAGGGTTGGGCCAAAAGGAAAACTGAGTGAGAGGGTGGCGAAAGTCACGTACTCTCACGAAGGAGTTTCACGCAGTGTGTGACAGGTGTAAAGGCTGGTCGTTGCGAAAAACCCGAGCTACTACAGCAGTACGTAGCTCTTATATACTACTAGCTAATATCAAATAGATCCTATCGAATGCGTCGAGAACGGTGGAGCGTGTGGAGCGACAACGAGGGGGAGAAATGAAGGGTAAGGACCGGGCCAAAGGCCGGCTCGTTACATACGCCCTCCTGTCCAACGAAGTTGGGCACTATAGGTAGAGTAAGAAATAAACGAGTGTAATATCTTTGAATGAAGCAAGGAAAGTTAATGAAAGGATGTATAAAGTAAAAGGACATCACGAAATCAATTGCGGGCGGTCCTCATGGTGGAATCTCCATTCGCGTCCGTTTTGTCGCCCTCCTTATCAACGTAGTAGAGCAAACCATCCTTGTCGGTATCAATGCTCTTTCCGTGATCAGGATCCGGGTCTCCATCTGCATCGATTGATCCTGCACTGCCCTCAATGAACTCGGGGAGATCATCTGAGAGGAATCCCTCCAGCGAGTCTCCTGCAGCAGCATAGCGATCCTCGAAATCTTCATCCCACATTAATCCAGCCTTCTTATCAAGACGACGCTGGATAGCTTTTTCCTTGGCAGTCTCGCGCTGGAAGAGCATCTGATGGCCGAGGAACCGAGTCTTGTTGTACTCACATTCAGGAACAATAACATATCCAGGGATATTGAGCTGGCGAGGGTCGAAAAGGAACTTCATGTCGACGTGAAGCCCTTTGCTGGTAGGAGATGGGGAATTGAGATGTGCGAGGGTGTAGCCCTTAGGTCCATTAGGATTGGTGGGACTGGGCTTGACCCATTCGACGAATTTTTCAGTCTGAGAACCCGCATTGAACGAGGCAGTGATTGCATCATAAGCAATGGGTTCAGAGCGGATCTGTCTGCACTCCGAAATGCCATCCTTGGCGTGAGTACGTCGGAGAAGGTTGTTGTGCTCAATGCATTTGAGCATGTGCACAGCATGAACCTGAGAAACAAGGCCTCCAAAAGAACCGGAGCCTGGGGCTTCGTGAACGTCAAACCATTCGCGATTTTTGTGGACAGTGAATGCCCTTGGTGAGAGCGGAATTGCTGGAGTGGGAGTGGTAGTGAGCAAGGGACGGAGGTAAGCAGGGGGCTTGCGGCCCTTCTTGCCATGGGGTCTACGTTCGCTGGGCATGGACAGTGGGAATGCAGTGGTGATGGTCCTAGAGGGAGAATAATGTAGCGGGAAATGATGGGGAAGCGGGAGCACAGGTGTGGGGGAATTCACACAACTTTGCATACCCTTTTCTATCCTCCTAGGAGACTCAAAATCAAATGTAATGGAGCTCACAGAAATCCCGTACTGTTCTGGATCTGATGGGAGCAGTGAACGCCCCGTCGGTAGGTTACCAATGGACACACAACCTAGCAAGTCAAGATAGTCAGCAAGACTGCCAAGCCCGACGAGCTGGTCATAGGGCATCCACGTAATATCACCAGTAGTCCATTTAACTTCAAATACGGCATGATCTTTAGCGCCGTGATGCGATAGAATCCGTTCAATTTTCCACTGAGGTTCTGCTTCCGGAGTCTCTTGTATTTGAGTATCAAGACATCCTGGAAATCTGCGATCATCATTAGGAACATGAATCCGAAGCAAGGAGGAGTGGAATACTGGATGTACTCCTCTCTGGATGAAGCTTGAAGGCAGCTCTACATGGAATGAGTGATTTCCGAAGTCCCTTGAAATTTTGTAGGGCCCGATATACTTCGGAATTAATTTGCGAGCTAGACCTTTAGCAAACTTCAAATTCTGGGTGGATACATATACCAGATCACCTTCGTGGAAAGATTCGAAATGTCGTTTCCAATTTGCGATATGAGTTTGCTTCACCCGAGTTTCAAGAATCGCATCGTGAGCTGACATGATAGCTAAACGCCGCAATCGAGCAAATGTTCGGACAGAGGGATACTCATTCTTCGTATTCGAGTTCCATATCATGGATCAGGGTATGTGTCCAGTATTGAGCATGAACGGGGCATATCCTGTTGTCTCAGACCTGGCGCAGTTCATCGTGAACTCAATAGCTGGCAGTTTTGACACCCAATCCTTCTGAGTGGAGTCGACACATTGTCGTAACATCTGGGTAATGGTACGATTAGCCCGTTCCGTAGAGCCATCACTCTGAGGGTGATACACACTGGACATATTCAGCTGAGTACCCATAAGCTCATGTAGCCTCTTCCAAAAGACGCTAGTGCATCAGCAATCTGCAATATTTCTGGTGACGTATGGAGAGTATGGGTTGTGTCTGAATGGTATGGCACATATGAGCATTGACGTGCCATAGCCATTATAAAGACCTTGCTTTCACCATATCACCATACTTGTTACTGCAACACTGCACGGCCTGGCTTAGAAGTAGTCACAAACAAGATCAAGAAAAGAATAACATTGCCATCGAAGAAAAATAATGATGCGAGTGGTGTGATAGTGGTAGATATGCACATGTCCTGCAGTAACTTCATCTCCGCGCTGTCGAACATTCACCAGCCTCATAAATGCACCAACATTGCTATGCCGACTCCACTGTGAGCATGCTGCTCGAGCGGCGCCAGCTTGGTGAATCCCAATCGTCTGCTCTATACCCTTGAAGTGGCTCTGCAACGTTTTCCTCCACGAAGCTGATGCTCTCGGACATCTCAAAGAGCTGCTGGGAGAGTTGATCCACATCGATATCCAACGAGATCGATGGCAAAGAGCCCCTCTTGGCTGTCGTCAGCACGGATATGAGAAAGAGGGATGCCTTTGCGATCTGATCAATATGGCGGATCCACTGATCATCGGTGTCGCTGGCTTCCTGATGGGGAAGGGGATTTTGGGACAAGGACGGCAGACCAGGCAGAGAGCTCACTGGAGGCATTGAGATCGGTGATGGCAGGGATGATGGGAGGACAAGGATGGGCTGTCCAAACACGTTGAGCTGCTGGGATGCAGCAATAACAGCCGCACTTGGTATATCACCAGTGCTAGTACCAACAGAAACTGAAGCTGTTGCCTCTGAGAGGGCTGACGACAACGAGATCAATGGTGAGGGGAGTTCTGGCAGTGTGAATTCGGTCTCTACACTGATGGTGTTGACGCGAGGACTCTGCAGTGAGCTGCCGTTACTAGTAAACAGCGTAAAAATGAGTTTGCCTGTCAAACGAAGAGAGCATACTAGTACACACCTAGCACCAAGTCCAAGCCTCCTCATACTACTGGCCCACAGTCTTGTAACATAACTGGACCTTCCCATAGCTGCTAGCTCTTCAAGGGCGTAACGTCGTTGTTAGCAGATAAGAGGCAATAAGACCCGAGTTTCTACGATGCGTAGTGACATGATGGTTGCATGGTGTCACAAACATCCTTCTTTTTTGGGAATTTCTACCCTTGAGTTCGAAGAACTCACTCGGAATCAGGCCGCACTATTGCTCAGGAGAAAATAATTTCATTTGTGTGGTGGTCTGCATACTTATTTACATAGAAAGCTTTGAAACAGTCCAAAGAATAGGCATAGTCAAACCTATGGGGTACAGAATGTGTTCCATACACGGGAATTATATGCGCGCCACGAAAAAGTGAATCTAGATGAATAACACTTATAACCGGACGACCCTGTGCTACCTCAGGTTTAACAATCCAGAGGCCTGTCTTCTTATCTGCATGTTGCCCGTGCTTCTTGAACCACCGCACCAGTGCGCATGGATAGATCACCCCCTCATGAACAAATGAGAAGAAAAGTAAAATTCTTACAACACTCATCCCAGAGAAGCCAGGCTTTTCCTCGTCCTCGACAACAAATGCACAGTCACGGCGCGGACGTTTATGCCAAGATGGGGTCGACCGAATACGTTCCCGGCGCATACCTCTGACTCCGGAAATGTCACTAGGTGCATAGAAGGATGCCACAGCGGAGTGGTAGACATATATGTTGGACATGATCTCGGGACAGTCATCAAGGTGGATATCTTCTGAGGGAGGGTCGTTCTCATGACGAAGATGATCATATAGAAAACGTCGAACCAGCTCTGGAAGATCTGGACAGTGGATGTGCTGTGCCAAGCGCTCGAGACGGTGAGGATATGCACGTTCTGCAGGATGGGAATCAATCAGATAAGAAGTTTATGTGTTAATGAACAAGTCAATTACCTTTAGTGACAGCGAGTTTGACTTCTGCAAGAATCGGCTCATCAACAGCTCCAACATCTTCGCTCTCAAGATCAAAAGGATCCGGTGGAGGAGGGTGATTTGGGGTGACAAGACCGTAGTTCGCAAGTTCAGAACGCAGTGCAGCAAGCTTATCAAGTCGTTGGTTTGTTAAGAGCATTTGGCTTAGGGCGTTATAATGGTTAGATCGACGCCAAGGCTTTTTAACAGCTGTGATATGGCACGACTCCGTAATTGAGGAACAGAGACCGTTCGGAGCCCCAAAATCAATGATGTGTTGCCGGTAATGGACAAGGGAATGCTGACGAGGAAGAGAGATGGTATCACGGACCCCAGTGGTAATGAAAACTTGTCTGTAGTAATGGAAGCGTGCCACGGCAGACTCGACTTCAAGAATGGTATCTTCGTTGAAGTCGGTGCGACGGACGAGATAGCAAAAGTCAAGAAACGATGCCAAACATTGCATCATTTCCTCTGGGAGATAGTCGGCAACAGCAGGAAGATAGACCTTAAGACCAGGCAAACTGTAAGAGGATGCACGAACAGACAATCTCACACAACATACCTTCATAAGAGCCTTAGAATCATCTCCGGTCCATTGTTTAAAGCGTCGGCCTTGAGGAAAACGTCGCAAGCCTGGAAAAGCCGGAGTTGCAGCAATACTGCAGCCTGGTGAGACAAGCTAAGTAACAAATAACTTGAAGTCCACATACCGGCGATCAATGTCATCCATGATCTCCCGTGCTCGGTCTTTTCCCTCCGACTGAAGAAGGTACTCCCCAACCCACTCCACGAGGTGGTCTTTAAAAGAGCCTTTAATCACTTGATGTAAGAGATCAGAAGTCAAAATCTCATGAATGTCGGCACGCGGAAAATGGAATGTGAACGGCTATTTATTTGAGATCAGTGTACAAAACATTGACACGCATAGTACACATACCTTTGTAGTTTTGTCGATGCCGTAGGTATACCATAACGTATCGCTCTCATCACAAAACTCATCCAAGAGCAATTGAGTAAGCTCTTGGGTACGTCGCCCACCTTCTCCATCTAAATCACTTGACAGTGCCGTGCACCTGTACTGGTCTGAGTTTATACCAAAATATAAAAGAATTAATGACTCACTTTGCGCACCATCCAGATACAATTCCCGAGAGGAGAACTTGTTCAGGATAGTCGGCAATAAAGGATGCCAGATCATAAATCACCCGTCGAAAATGCCCATCAGGACAACGTCGAATGACTGGTTCCATCATAGCAGGCTTTAGAGATTGCAAAATCGCTGCAACGGATTGATGGTAGAGCTGCTTCTTGAAGGTTCGAAACATGGGGTCATCATCGTACTTGCGATCCGCTATAAAAAGCCAATCAGATGAGCCAAACTGTTAATGTTCAAGACACGTACATTTGGGAATAGCGAGGAAGCCAATTGGTACTACCGCATTACGATGGCCGCGCCGTGCAGAATTGTGGATGTTTCCAATCGAAATATACAAAGGATAATACTCGACATTACCCGTAGCGACAGATACCGTTGTTTTATCACTACCCAAGATGATGCCGACATACATTGCTCCTGCCGTGGTTGGATCCTCCTGGTGTATTCGACTCTAAACAATGCTATATTAACATCATTCCGGTGAGTCTGAGAAAGCACGTACTGCATGTCTCCATGTGAAATTCCCAGACATAAAGTCACACCACCGCCGCTTCCCATCTGAACTGACTTCAACATATGGGGCAGTGTCGAACTCATTGGAGAAATCGGGGTTGGCTAGGATATTGCTGATGACCGTGTCGGGGTCACGATACCAAATCTGATATTGATCACGTTGCCAGCTTGGCGCAGTGGGAGGAAGGTTCGCATCCACCTGGGTGACGAAACACTTCCAAGGTGCATTACCTTGCTGGATAGCATCGATTAACTTGTACATCTCATCGTGGTTCTCAAAGGGTCCGAAGTCGCCATGTTTGAGCATCGTAAGAGTCCAGAGCTCCATAAGCTCGTTGATATTTCCCTGCGACATCTCTACCTTTCGAAACAGAAAATCGGCGATTCGAAATTGAAGCGGATCCATAAAGGGCTCTGCAACATTCTCAGGTTGGACAGGCGATGATGGTGGTGTGCCAGTAGGCAAGAAATTCCCTTGAGAATCACATGGTAGACCTACAAGCAAACATAAATTGTAGATACACATTGAAGAGGATACAAGCAATACGAACCGGTTAAATGCGGATGAAAATGCTTAGTAGAACGTGGGGTGGGTGGATCGTGTACTTCATTGTCTCCGGCGTGACTAGGCTCATCATCAATATCCATGAACGAAGGGCTGGATGTTTGCTCTGCATCTCTCTCGCTATTGCAGGATACCAACTCAGGTCGGCAAGAAGATGGTTGCATGTCAATGCCAGTATGCTTTGCATTGATATGCTGCGTACGACCGTATTGAGTTCTGAAGGTTTGATTACATCCTTGAACAACACAGACAAGGCGCTGGGTGAGACGTCGAGAAGTGGACATGATGGATGTTTGAGTTGTCGGAACAGGCTGTGTAGGCGGAAGCAAATTTTTGGTTCATGGCGTGATTCCGAATGTTTCCGTGGCAACAAATATTTCTTTCTCTCTCACGTCAACATCCAGTCAAATGAACACTCGCGGTGCCAAAGCCAATGTTCCTGATGAGCTCAAGAAGCATACTCGACAGGAACAGCGAGAGGCTCGGGAAGCCAAGCAGCGGAAGCAGGAGGAAGCCAAGGCGCAGAAAAAGGAAGTGCAGGATGGCAAGAAAAAGAGGATGGCGATGCGAGTCGCTGCTCAAGAAGACAAGCAGCTCCTAGAGGATAAGGCCATTCAATCTCTTCAACCTGACCTCGATACATCAAAAAGCTTACCGAAAGTTTCCCAACAGTCCGTCGCCTCTGTTTTGCGCCAGTCGCCTGCCATCATGGCTTGGGGACCCTCAGTTCAAGCAACGTCCAAACCCACAGCATCTGTGGCGACGGCCTCCAGCAAGGCATCCTCAGTGTCCTCGCCAATTCCCAGTCCAGCATTCGATCTTGCCATCCCAGCATTGGATGATAACGATGATGCAGAAGGTGACATTCTCCCGTCTGTGACTACCACGCATACCAGCGAGTCCGAAGGGAGTCACCCTGATGATCTCCACCGTGACGGTGGTAGTGACATTGAGGACACGTCTACTCCCGACGTGTTATCCATCCAGGTCGATCTCGAGGATGACACTAACAATGATACGACATCATCAGACGAATATCAGCAGCCCGAGAGTTCTGTGTCAGGCTCTGAGGATGCGGGACAGATGGACATTGATGAGGAGTTCGCCAAGTTTCTGGAAATGAAGCGGGCCAAGATGGCGGCATCCAAAAAAAAGCCACAGGAAGAGAAGAAGACAGGGAAAGGTAAAAAAAACGGCTACCCAGCGCCGTAAGGTTGGTTTTCTCCTACCCGAGAACCCACCGCCAGTATCTGATCCCTATTATACAGGATGAGCGACTCGAACTTCGACGTGCAATCACTGCTGAACGCAAAGAGATCCCCGTGGCTCCAGTTCTTCCAAAGCCAGCTACTATCATGGCTCCAAAGAAACGCAAGGAAGTTGAAGCCAATTCTGATGAACAGTGAGTGGTTGTTATCTAAGCGATCTTAGCCTCATGCTCACTGAAATCGTAACCAATAGAACGAATCAGAGCTCTCAGAAGCGAGTCAAAACTACCGAGGTGGGAGGTTTGGCTAAGGATTGGCGGGGAGTATATGTGCAATCGATGGCTATGTCGTCTGCTTCATCATTGGGTGATCCGATTGAGTTGCCAGCACAAGTTGGTATCAAGGTGGAAAAGGGTTCCAAGAGGGGAAAGGATGCCGACAAGGTGCCATTCTCAATTTAATGATGAACGAGATATTAACGTGGGTTCTACAGAAGGCAAATCCACCCGAGATTGTGTTACAGGAGGCTGACGTGCAAGCGATAGACAAGCAAGAGCATGGGAAGAAAGTCAAATGGAAGAATCAACACCTTCCTTTTGACAACGTCATGCGTGATCTTCCCATATGGCAACAGAAATTTATTCCGTCACTGCTGGACTGGGCTATGTCTGATATTCCCGAGCCGTTTGGAATGACCAGTCATCCCAACTTCAAAGCAACTATCCAAGGCCTCTGGAAGAAGATCTTCTCTCATCTTTCTGAGAAGCCCACTGACGACGGCGAGCCACGTGCTGACCATCCAGCAATCTACAGTGTTGTATGTACCTTTTCCATTTTTTATGCCAATGAGACTTTGATTGCCATTGAATGATAGGGCGCTGCAGCAATACGTACACACCGTAGCGACATTGGCAAAGAAGCTCTCCGAACAGTTGAACGCAACTGGGAACGCCAAGACATGAAGAAGTATGCGACTGTGGAGGAGCGGAGTGCATGGGTAACAGATCAGCTCAAAGGCTCGAAGTTCCTCTATCAGTATCCCGAAAAGGAGGTGCGTACACTGAATACTAGCTGTTGTAGTAGTCAGGCTTCATGTCAAGTTTCTAGGACAATCGGGGGGCGTTTCGTGGACCACTCATCTTAGAAACATTTGCATATCATCTTCAAGCAACTATGAACGCCCCTCATGGACACGGAAATCCTGTGGCCGGTCTCGCTGTGGCTGCTTCAGCGGTATGTACCTCCGTTCCAGTCATTGGTTTATTCTACACTCATCATCTTCAGGTCAAGCGCGCGCTTACACTATGGAAGAGTGGAACTAACTCCGTCAAGAGCAGTGTCGAATCGAACTCAAAAAACAACACAAACAGCTTCAAAGATGATCCTTGGGGAACGACTGCCAACAAGTATTACAAGCACGTTTGCGATTACGATGACGAAAAATGGCGGGAGATCATTTTCGGCAGCGCAAAACATTTCAATGCGAAGAAGGTCAAGCTCTTAGGGGCCATGGAATCAAGTGGTAGTGCCGGAAGGGATGACAGCGACGACAATATCAGCAAGTCTCCTTAGGTTCTTCTCATTCCTTCGTTGTATCTTATCTGTACTGACGTTCAATCTTTCCTTACTATCAGGTGCTACCCTTGAAGGAAGTCGTTAGTACGCATTCGGTTTCTGTATTGATGATGTCGCTGTAGTTTTCGCTTGTCGCTGTAGTGCTTGAAATACAGTTTTTTCCCGATGCGCAAAAGTGGCTATATTGAATATGAACATGTGCCAGTGGAATGGGTATGGACTAGGTATGGTGGTTAATGGGAAGTTGCGAGAATGCAGGTATGGTGGCTGACATAGCAATATAACGACGGTATGGGGGTAGCCAGGTACGTTATACGCCCATAACAGTGTCTGGTTCTCTGGTGGGTGATGGTGGCTATGGTCCCATTCCTACCAGACTTGTACGAGTTTGCTGATGTGAACAGTGAGTCACGATCACTTATAATCCATTGTGGCATTCCGTGGTGCTTGTAGACATGCTCAAACATCAGTTCAGCCACTTGGCGGGCAGTGTAGGTTGTACGGCAGGGAACAAGATGTACTATTGAGGTAAATAGGTCAATAATAACAGTTATCGAGTCAAATGTACCATTGCGATTTTTAGAATCCGGTAACGGCCCAACAAAGTCAATTCCGATAGCCTCCCAGGGATACGTCGGAACCTTGAGAGGGTGCAGCAAGCCGTAAGGCTTCTGGTTGTTAGGCTTGCTCATCTTACAAGTACGACAAGACTCACAATATGATTTCACATCCGAAACCATATCCTTCCACCACACACTCTGGCGAAGGTAATCCAATGTTTTGCTTGCCCCAAGGTGAGCTAGAATTGAATGAGCTTCTGAAATAATGATTTCTTGAGCTGTACGACCGTTTACGAGGATGCGAGGTATGCAGAGAAGTCTATCGTCATCCTTCTTGAGGTACAAAAGGCCTGTATCCTGGTTCCACTCGAAGTTTGCAAAGTGTTCCGGGTTTTCTACTACTCTTTTGAAGAGAGGATCATCAGAATAGCGATGTTGAATAGCTTTTTTGAAGTCAAGGCCATTGAGTGAGGTAATGGAATTGAGCAACGTTGCCCCAGTCAAGTCTGGGTCAGCGTGGGAAATTTCCGGATCGCGGGAATTTGCTTTGCTGGCACTTTCTGCATTGATTCCCTCTTGCTCTCGAGATCCACTGCCATCCTGATTTCGTTCAGGCTCCTCTTCTGTCCTAGGGCCTCTGTAGACCTTTGCTGAAGGTCCTACAAGTGGTGGATTGGAGCTCTGGGCTGTCCCCATGCTGCTAGGGCTTGGCCTTGCAGGGATCTTGATGGTGAGCTTTTCCTGCTCTTTTCCATTGCTTCCTGACCGCGTTTTTGGTTCGTTAGCTCGTTTAGGACTACTGTGGATCGTAGTGGACGACGATGAGGTCAAATCTTCGGTACTCCCGCCCTCCTGTGCGCGTCTAGGGCCGACAACGCGTACATGGCCTTTCATCCTCTTTGCGAACTCAGAAGATGTTTCTGGACGCCCAGTGTCAGCGTTGGATCGTTTAGGGAGTGCCCTGGAACGGGTTGTACGTGCTGCAAAGGCTTCCAGGCCTGCCAGCAGTGGTATGGTAATTCCGTGACTGTTCAGATGGTCCATACTGACATTATCATCATGATCAGTGTATTCCGAGCGTGCGCAGACAGTACCAGGGGCGTCGTTGGTGTATATGCATGAGAGAGCATCCGAGAGGACGTTGGATTCACCAGGTACGTATACTATCTCGAAATCGAACGCACTCATCTTTTCTAACCAACGCGCTTGCCTTCCTGTTAGGTCTTTCTGCTTCATAAGGTGAATCAACCCCTTATGATCCGTTATCCAAGTGAAATGAATTCCCTGTAGGATATCCCGATGGTGCAACATCGTCTCAAGACCTGCTAACATCTCCAGTTCATGAACTGCATAGTTCTGTTGTGCCGAACTAAGCTTCGCTGAGTAGAAGGCTGCAACTTTGGCCTTCTGCCACTCGTCTCCTTGTGCGACGTAGCCTGCGATGCTGGCGGAGCTCGCGTCGGTGACCATCCAGACGGGTTTGTGCTCAGGTGAGTAGTCTAATGGCACTCGGCTGTGGTTACGATGATATTCAACAATTTCCTTGATCTCGTCAAAGGCTCGCTGTTCAGTGTAGGACCAACGGAATGGGACCGTCGAGCCTGTGAGGCCATGGAGGATTCCCATAGGGCCACGGCTGCGAGGTAAGTCATCTGCGAGATATCCTACGCTTCCGAGGAATCCTGACAATAATCCTTTTGATGTAGGAGTCTTCCAGTTGATTACAGAGTCCACCTTGTCGGGATCCATATGTATACCATTATCATCAATAATACGACCGAGTACTTTCATTTCCTTTGGCAAGAAATTCAGTTTTGAAGCACTCAAGTATAGTTGCTCTTGCTTCAAGACATCAATAATGCATTTAACATGCTTAACATGGTCCTCGATTGTGTTGGAATAGATAATAACATCATCTAGGTATACCTCCATGAAGACACCTATGTAGGGTGAGAAGATATGGTTCATCAGCGCTTGGTACGTTGCGGGTGCGTTACAATCACCCTGCTGTAGAACGAGACTGACCATATTTCCGTCAGGCGTTGTAACTGTAGTTCTATCAACATGCTCGGGAACAACTCGGATTTGCTCGTAGGCATCCTTGCCGTCAATGATGCTTCGATATTTGCACTTTGCCACACGACACAAAATCCCTTCAATGCTTGGGAGAGGTGCTGACACCTTGCGAGTGTTGGCGTTGCGTGCGCGCAAGTCGACGACAGTCCGGAGTAGGTGTTTTTGCTTTCCTACTTTCGGAATCAGCAACATTGGTACTGAATTCCCTGAGGTAGTAAGTTTCCACCTACCTGAGGATAAGTAATCCCTTCGTTTTTGATCCCATTGTGAACAGAAGGCCTCGGGACACCGAGACGGCCTCCAGGAATATACCTTGTGCTTGTCAATCAAGGGTATCTCATGGTTAATTGCATGTAAGGGTGGCAATGGCGTTTCCGAAGCTGTTTTGCAGATGGGGGCCGCATACTCTTGAAGCTCTGCGCGAACTTGCTCGAGTGCATCCTCACTAACCATCATAGCTTGGGACCGAACCTGGCTAACATTATCACCCACCATAGGCAAGGCCGTGTCACTTCCAATCTCAATAGACGAAGGATTAAAGCAAACGCGAACATTATACTGATACAGCCAAGGTGTACCAAGGACCAAATCATATCCAGAGAGGTTCGCGATGTCAAAGTAATGCTCTGTTTTGATGCTCTGATACTTGAACTGAACCTTTGTCCCACAGAGAATCTTCGAACGAGATCCCTGGACTGCGAGATGCAAAGGAATAGGTGATGGAAGGTATGTCTTGAATACCTTCAGCTGATCTGCTAACTGAGTAGACATGAAGTCCCCCAATGAGCCAGTATCAACCAAAGCTCGGCAAGGCTTTCCATTGATGTCGACGACAATAACAAGAGGTCGAGGCACCACACGGCTGATGTCTTTCACAACCGAGGCGTGGCGCTGGACAGCAGGGTAAGTCTTGGGCTCGATTTGGACTCCCGCTATGCTCATAACATGAGCGTAGCCATTCCGTTCTTCCCAATGCAGGTTGCCGTTCATCAAATGCAAGTAGTTATCAGCTGCTGCAACCACGGAATCAAGTTCCTTCTCAAATGTTGTCATTTCTGTGGACTGCGAAAACATGCGGGTAAGAAACTCGTATTCAACAGGGCCTTGTAGCCGTTGTAACAGAGTTTCGTAGGCATTATTTAGCTTTTTCCGGTACCAATTTGGCAGGTCAAAGTTTGGATTAGTCAGGTACTTGATAGGTACTGACGTTTTGAACTCGCGACGGATATCCTCAATGATATACTTCCGTGAGGGCTTTCTGGGATGAGGATAAATGATATACTGAATGTCCTCTTCCAGATTTCCGGAGTCCTTGATAAATGGAACATGTCTCATCAAGGATTTTCGAACTGCGGTAGCTAGTGGATGGCCCATCCGAGGGTAATCCATGTTCTGGAAGGCTGGTATGTGGTCAAACATAGCCAGTTGCCTTCCCCAGTACTCTCTGGGACTAAACTGAGGGTCCAATACCCACGAGATAGGTAATTCTCCTCCTAGTCCTCAGTCATGATCAATGAATTTAATCATGTGATCTTCCTTAGACTCCCACACAGTGAACCGAAGGTGACCATGAGGATCAGAGCTATCTCTGGGGTACGGCTGGCTCTCATGAAGCTTCGTCTCGAGAGCGTTGACAAGTATGTTTCCCATTCTTTGAAGTTGCCATTGCTCTGATCTAACCTTGATAGCCTCAGCACGCTTCAGCTTCTCAAAGCGAAGCTCATCCAGGAGGAACGACTCAAATTGCATAGCTACAAATGCCTTTAAGTTTTTTGATAGCCAACCGATTGCATCAAAGTACGGATTTTCGAGTCTCGCAGCATCAATCTGAAGCCCCACAAGATTTGAGTGATCTTCAACAGTAAGCTTGTTTGATTGAGCTTCTCGGCTCACACTGAACCGGTCATAGGGTGAGACTTGGTTCTCGTTGAAGCCCAATTCCTTCAAATCGGGATAAGAGCTAATGCCGTGGCTTAGTACAAAGTGTAAGCCTTGCGTGAGAGCATCTCCAAGTTCCGAGGACTTGCTAAACCACTTTGCAGAGTCAAACGGAAGTGCAAGAAGCCTTGCGCGTTGCTTCGCATACCATGCACCAATCCGGAACTTCGGATTTCGAAGCAAGGCTGCCGAAATCGTGAGTTCACCGTGTTCTGATTCAGTATCTGCAATGGTAAAGGTATCATTGTTCAGACGAAACATGCCAAACCGATGAGAGCTCACTGCTCCCCAACGGAGTTCATCCCCAGGGTACGGTGCATCGTGATTCAGGCTTAACTCGGCTGCGTACTGATAGAAATCACCAATACTGGTCGGACGCCAGCCTGGTTCTGTTTCCTTGCACAACATGAAGTTCGAATACACTGTTTCCGGATACCGGAAGACCTCCTTAGCGTCATCTGCCCAGCAGTACAATGGTTCGCCATTGCAATCCTGTGAACAGGCATCTTCCTTAGTCCACTGGAGTCCGAAATTCTCAATTCTGAGAACTGGTGAGGCCTCATTGCAATCTATGCTTCCGAAATCACTGATGAACACTTCCAGATCATTTAATTCTGACTCATGTGAATTATCAGGGCTAACGGCTGAAGGTTCAGCCTCATTTCCGGGTTGCGATGCCTCTTCGCTGTCAGTTTCGTAGTCTGAACTTTCTGATTCATCTGTTTCCGAGACTGATTCAAGGTCTGGGACATTTTCATTGTCCGAGTTTTCAGATAGTAACTGACTACTCTTTTCATCAGGCATGAACATCATACCAATTGAGATGTAGTCTGCTGTTTCCATAGTCTCAGCAAGCTCATGAAGATCTTCTGCAAGTTCATAGTGCATGCCATGTGCTGAAAATCCTGGTGGTCCCTTTTTATTACTGGACTTGACCGTATTGCCATGAGGGCAGTTCCGAGCCATATGGCTGACTTCCTCGCAGTTGAAACACTTATTAGCAGCTACTAATTCCGCTTTCTTGCCATCTGACATTTTATTTCCAGAACTGGGTGATGTAGAAGGCTTACTACCTCCTCTGTTACGCCCTCCATTGGAAGATTTGTTGCCCGAACCTCCTTTGGATGACGATGAAGCCTGATTATGACCTGTAGAATGTCCCGATGGAGCAGATCCACCATTTCGGGGTCCATTCTTATGGTGAGAATAGCCTTTACCGTGATTATTATTAGGCTTATTCTTCTTTGATGAGGTTCCGTTATTCCTGTTACCATTGCCATTGTTACCACCTTGTGATGGCTTCTTCTCCTTGGTGCGAGGTGCAGCTTCAAGGTCAGCCATCTCAATTAGTTCAGCTTCTTCAACAATGCGACACCAACTGTGAACTTCTTTATTCAGTTTTGCATGATGTAGTTCACGTTGCATCTCTTTGCGGAATCCATCCCAAAGTTTGATGACACGTTCTCGCTTGCTAGTGACACCAACAAGTCCATACAAGGTTTCAAGCTCGTAAACGTATTCTGAAACGGTACGATCATTTTGATAGCACCTCTTTATTTTATCATGTTGCTGACTACGATAATTCAGGGGGAAACAAGCATTGAACATTCCATGTAAGAAGTCCAATAATGTCCATTCCGCGTGATTCTTAGAAACCTTTTGGATGAAAAAGGAGAGGGCTTTACCCTTCAGGTAATGTGACGTCAAGAATACTTGTTCGTCTCTGGGGACCTGACCTTCTTTACAGAACTGAGTCATTTCCATTGTGAAGCGGTGGAACTTCTCGCCGTCTGCAGTACCATCATACGGAGTAGGAGGGATTGGCTTAATAATCCGTTTCTAACTAGATCTATGCCTCCTATGGCGGTGGCCATGATGACGATGAGATCCATGCCTTCGGCAGTGGCGGCGATGATGGTGACTATCATGAGATGAGTCTGAAGCTTCCGAAGAGCCTGATTCTGATGGTGAGTCACTACTTGAGTCTGAAGAGCTCGATTCTGAATCCGAGGGATCACTATCAGATGGAGAAGAGTACGAATAGCTTGAATCTGAATCCGAATCATCACTAGAAGAGGAATCAGAGCTCGAAGGATCTGAATCAGAGGAGCTAGCATGCCGCTTGCTCTTCCGTTTCTCATTCTTCTTCCTATTGAGCTTCTGTTTACGTTCCAGTGAGGCTTTCTTCTTAGATTTACCAACTTTTAGAACATTGGCTAAGAAGCTATCAGCCAGAAGCTGATCTGTTGGACGAGTAGAGCCATGCCGGCTCCCGTGATGACTGCTTGAGGGTGCTCTGGACTTGCCCTGAACCACCTCTTCCATCCGACGATCAAACATGCTTGCCAGCGGCTCAAGATTATGAACATTCTTCTTCTTAGAAGTCCTTTTCTTTGATTTCGTAGGCTTTTTCTGGTATTTTTTCGGTTCAGCATCCTCAGGATCTTCATCAGAAGTTTCCTCAACCTCGAGAACATCATACCGGCCAGTCTTACCAACCAGTTTCTTAGTTCGCGAAGCCTTGGACTTGCCAGAAGCTTTAGTCCGCTTAGAAGACTTTCCGACCTTTGTGTTAGGATCGTGCCAATAGGATTGCGGCAGAAAGTGCACGTAGCGGAATGCCGCGGGATGCGTCGGGCGTAGGCAAAGCTATTAGCAACGTCACCCCTGAGCCGAAGCCCTAAGATGGATACGGACGGAAGTCCACGGAGTGGCAGAGACGAGGTAAGAGATAAGTCCAACGGATCGGAGTTCCGCGGACTGGAGAACGAGAGTTAGACTTAGAGTCAGAGAGAGAGAGATTGGGCTGAACCAAGTTGATATTCGAACTGAGTATCTACAGTGTAATTCTAAGGCTTATATACTAGTTAGGAGTCCAATCTAGTTCCTACTCGGAGTGGTCTACATTCTAGGGTTGTCGGAGGATGTATTCTACTGGTCGGTAGCCGATGGGGTCCAATGACATGTTTGCTACTGATGTTGGGCTATTGATAAATTGTAATGGAGAAGTGAAATATAAAATGGAATATGAAATGGAATATGAAATAGAAACTGGGAATCGGAATCTGTAGGATTCTGGGCTGTGGTTTGTTGGGTTGAGTGGAAGTTGGGTTTCCATCGGCATGCTCGTTACAGTATCCCCCCCCTTAGCATTCTTGCCCTCAAGGACGCAGATCCCGATGGCCGAGTGTGACCACGTGGAATTTTTTCAGGTTGGTCACGTGGCTTTTCACCTCTTAGCTTTCTACCACCACCATCTCCTCTATTTTCTGAGTTTTGTCCTCGTCGTTGGCCATGGCGTCCACCGTTGAATACCGCGCTTCCATGACGCCTGAACCATATGAGCCTGCCCCGATGCCCGAAGATATTCGGCCTGAAGACCTAGAGGCCTTTTATGATGAGTGGGATGCTGCGGAGAAGGCTAGGGAGGATGCCGCGGAGGCCCATGAGGCTTGGAAGGTGCAGAAGCAAAAGGAGGAAAAGAGGCAGGCTCTGGAGTTAGAACGGCGAGAGAAAAAGTTGGTGCAGGAAAGGAAGGTTGCGGAAGCCAAAGCAAGGAAGGAGAGGGAGGAGTGGGAGGCCGTGGAAAGGAAACGGCAAGAGGAGGCAGAGGCTAAGGCAAGGGCAGAGGCGGCCGCCGCGGAGCAGCGGAGGTTGGAAGAGGAGGCAAGGGCCTTGGAGGAACGGAGAGCCGCGAAGAAGAAGAAGTTGGAAGGTGAGGCCAAGGCAAAGGCTTTGGTGGAAGCTAGCAAGGCCACGGAGGCCAAGAAGGAGAAGGAGAAGGTAGGCGGGGATGAGGGAAGCAAGATTGGTAGCGGGTCCGACGGAGATGACGAGCGGGAGAAGGACCCAAAGGGGAAGGCACTGAAAAAATTGGTAAAGCAGAGGAAGGATAGGAAGGGTAAGGGCAAGGTGACCAATTCGGAGGCTGCGGATGTTTCGAGGAAGCGTAAGATCAAGTCTAGTGCAGTGGTGGTCAGTGGGGAAGAGGAGGTCGTGGGGCCGTCGGGGCGGCCGTTGAAGAAGTTGAAAACCGAGCCTGAGATGCAGGTGGATGACGAGGAATATAAGAATAATGGTAGGCTTCCCCATGGGTTCTGACTATTTTGCTGACTTGGTGCGTAGAGCGTTGTGGACATTGTAAGACAGACAACATAAAATGTTTCATTCGCCGCGGGCGTACTTGCGAACGGTGCAAATTAAAGAAGAACAAGTGTGTGTTTCCACAAGGTGAAAGTTCGGGATCTGCGGGGTCCAGTGAGATCATCGACCTCCTACAAAAACTTTGCGACAAGATGGACGATTTCCAGGAAGGCTTGGAAAGGGTAGAGGGGAAGGTCAACTTCCTCGGAGGCCGGGTTGATGACCTTGTGGACGACTTCCATGAGGGTGACGCACCGGAATGGCCATCGGATTTTGTTGAGGAGGAGTTTAGGGAGGAATGGGCAGCATCTAAGGTCGAGCTCGGAAACCTCAAGAACGTGAACTCGGAGGCCCTACGGATCGCGATGCATATGTGACTTGACAAGGACATTGCCCAGTTATGGAATGCTCACATGACAGGTATCGAAACTCTCGATGCCACAGATCCCTTCGAGGTCACAAACATGCAAGTTTGGTATGGCTGCCTTGGGGAAGACGGTCTTCGATTGGCCATCAAATGTCGCGACCATTTCTTGGACACAAGGGACAAGTTCTATGCGCTCGGAGGCTGTCGGATTGAGTGGGTGTTGTGGAAGAGGTATTTGGATGTTAGCCACTAACTCTTATCGACTTAGATCACCTCGAGATCGCCACTCGCACTTCGGTGGTCGATACAGGAGGGGTCAAAGTAGATGGGAGAGAGCCAGTCGTGAACTTAGATAGTCACAAAACGGGGAGCTTTGAGGTAGGTAGATTAAACCTTAGCCGAAGCTGGGGTTTAGACCAGCTGAGGCTCTGCTTAAATACACGTTGGCTAGACTAAAAATAGTACTGTGAGAACGTCCAATAGGAATCGCATCATAGAGTAAGCGTGAATACGTTAGAAAAGAAAAAGAAAAGAATAAACCATAACATTACCCCCTCTTCAAGACTCGTTTGTCCCGAATGAGCCCTGACTCTCACCTGCACTCTCCGCTGATTCGCTGTAGAAGGATAGATTGTCGTCTTCCTCATCTTCTGAGTCAAAGTCCCAGTTCTCGTAGATGCGTTGGAGGTTTTCGAGGTTGATTTCCGACTCATCGTTTGTATTATCGATGTTTGGTGTTCCATCGGCCTCGTCTGTAGTTACTGACCCTGCTGAGGGGTCTAAGTAAGAGTCCGATTGTGACGCCGAGTGTCGAGGGTTTGTGCACTGAGAAGAGGACACTGTTTCCGCGTCCGAGATACACGGGGTATTCGGTTGATGGAATGCTGTCACTGCTTCCCGAGGTATTTGGTGGTCGATTCCGACGGGTTTTCCGTGTTTATTGATCTCCCATTGGATCCTCTGAATACGGGCCTCGTACTCGTTCACGAGTTCCTCTGCATTCGCCATATTCGAGCATTTTACCCAGGAGTTTTCCTCCATTGGGTATCCCTTCCATTTGACCAGGTACTCCGTGATCGTTCGACGAGTTTTTCCTCGACCTATGACTTTGTCCTGTTGCTCCACGATCTCTTCTATTTCGTACTCTTCCTCGTCATCTATCAGTTCTGGAGGTGGTCGTTCCGGCCGTGGTTGGTTGGGAAACGATGGAGGTGTATACGGGGTTAGCAGGGATTCATTGAATCGGTTGTGTATTTTCCAGCGTACTGGTAGCTTTAACTCGTATGCTGAGGCTCCTTTCTTTGCCGTGATGGCAAAAGGTCCAACTCGTCGATCGCCCAACTTTTTAGTTGGTCGCGGAAGGTGGAGATTCGTTGAATCAAGCCAGACCTTGTCCCCGATGTGATATTCCAAGGAGGGACCTTTGTGTTTATCGTAGGCTTTCTTCATTGACTCCGCCGCTCGTTCCAGAGAGGCCTTAGTCTCTTCTTGGGCCTTCGCTATTTCTGCTACTAACCTCCCCGCCGCCGGGACCACGGTCGGATTCTGTGACGTGGTAATGACCTGTCCGTCTCTCCCGAATACTACCTTGTATGGGGAGTACCCGGTCGATGAATGTTGGCGGTTATTGTGAGTGAAGGCCGCTAGAGGCAACCAGTCACTCCAATCATCTTGTCGGCCATTTACGAACATCTTCAGGTACTTTTCGATCTCCTGATTGACCCTCTCTGTCTGACTGTCTGTCTGCGGGTGATAGGCAGTGGAAGGATTCCCTTCGACATGAATAAGAGTGTAGAACTCTTTCATGAATTTAGAAACGAAGACTGAGCCGCGGTCCGAGATGATCTTTTCAGGCATCACTCCATAGGGCACGTAAACATAATCCCGCAGGATCTTGGCGAATCCGAGGGAGGTGAGTTCTTCAGTGCATGCAATGGGAATAATCGTCTTGGAGAAGCGGTCGACAATGACCAAAATAGAGTCGAAGCCCTTGGAATTCGGTAGTTTGGTGATCATATCTACCGAAATATGAGTCCAGGGTCGGTCTGGGACCTCATTGGGATGCAGAGGAGCCCTTTTTGGGCGACGATCCGCCTTAGTCCTCTGGCAGACTTCACACCCCTTGACGTAGGCCTCTACGTCTCGACGCATTCGTGGCCACCAGTAGTCTCGAAGGACTAGCTCCTTGGTTTTCTCGATGCCCGGGTGTCCGGTGGTAACATGATCATGCTTGAGGGCTATAATTTGTCCTCTAAGGTTGTGGTCCACAGGTATGTAAATTCGCCCGCCATACCACAGCAAGTCTTGCTCCCGAGAAACACCCTTTTCGTGATTGAGGGAGTCGGATATCCCCCTATCCCAACGACGAGGGTCGTGCGTGGCTGTTTTGATCCTTTCGTGCAGTTCCTCGGCGGAGGGCATAATTAGGGCCCTAAAGTGTTCTGCTTTGAGGACCATCACGTCCCGATTGTCCTCCTTCCCTTGGTCATGATCCGCCCTTCGTGACAGGAGATCGGCCTTACGATTTTGCACCCCAGGCTTGTGATGCAGAGTGGACTGGTACTCCACCAATTCCGTCACCCACCGTGCTTGTCGTCGGTTGAGTTTCTGGGGTTTACGGAAATATTGAAGGTTGGAGTGATCCGTCCAGATCTCAAAGTCCTCCCTTGCTCCCATGAGGTATTGTCGCCATTCCTCGAGGGCGATCATGATGGCCAGGAGCTCTTTGTCGTAGATCTTGTAATTGCGCTCGGTTACGGAGAGAGCTTTGGACAGAAAGGCTACCGGTCGCCATTTTTCGTTCTGCCACTGAGACAGTACCGCCCCCACCGCTCCTTCGCTTGAGTCGGCTTCAACTCGGAACCTTCCCTCGTCTAATGGGATGGCTAGCACCACATCTTCGCGAAATAGCTCCTTGAGCTTCTCGAACGCCTTCTGTTGGGCCTCTCCCCACTTCCACTCTTGTTTCCCGGTGAGCATGGTTAAAGGCTTGACATGCTTACTATAGTCTCGGATAAACCATCGGTAGAAATTGCAAAATCCGAGGAAGGACTGCAATTCCTGTTTCCTTTGGGGAACCGGCCAATCCAATAGTCCTGCGATCTTTACCGGGTCCATTCGAATCTTCCCTTCACTGATAATTACTCCCAGGTATTCCGTTTCCTCCACCTCGAACTCGCACTTCTCGGCTTTGAGGAAGAGGTTGTTAGCACGCAGTATCTGGAGTACCCTTCGCACAATTCGTTTGTGTTCCGCCTTGGTCTTGGAGGCGATGAGTATGTCGTCCAGGTACACCGATACTTCTCCAGCGGCTATGAGATCTTTGAAGAGGTCATTCATCATCCATTGAAAGGTAGCCGGGGAGTTGGTCAGTCCGAAGAACATCACCAAGGGCTCATAGAGTCCATGGTTGGTTCGGAACACGGCTTTCCATTCGTCCCCCTGCTTAATCCGTACGTTATTGTACCCCCACCGGACATCCAATTTAGTGAAGTACTTGGCCTTCTTCAGCCTGTCCATGAGTTCTCCAATAAGCGGCAACGGGTAACAATTCTTGATGGTCATTTCATTAAGCTTTCGGTAATCCTGCACAGGACGAAGCTTCCCATCTTTCTTTTTTACAAAGAAGAACGGGGAGGCCATGAGAGACTTGGACGCCTGGATGCGACCTGTCGCTAAGTTCTCGTCCAGGAACTTGTCTAATTCCTCCTGTTCTGTCGGATTAAGAGGATAGACTTTACAGTCAAGATTGGCATTGGTGTTGGGAATTAGTTCGATGGCGTGATCCCAGGGTTTACGTGGGGGTAGCTCATCGAAACTCTCCTTATTGAATACGTCTTTGAACTCGCAGTATTCTTCTGGTACAATTTCCTCGAAGGACTTGGTTGTCTTTTTCGCATTGGCCTGGGCGGCCAACTCATTGGCTTTGGTCCCCATGGCTCAAACGTGGAAGGCCTCTTCAAAATCGACGACTAGGATAGTATCCCCCTCCTCGTATTCCTCCCATCGCGAGGAAGGATCAGTGTCAGGAAGAGAAAATGGTATTTTGCGGCATTTGCATCGGGCTAGGGTGACGGACCCCGTATCCCAGTCAATCAGGGGGTTATGGCGTTGTAGCCAATCATGCCCAAGGAATAGGGGGGTGGAGCCCAGGTCTACTACTGCCAATTCGATCCTTTCCACGTGATCCCCAATCTGTAGCCTTACTTCGGTGTACTCCGTGATGTCCCCTCCTTTATTCCTTGTGCTGTCGGCATTGTACACTGGGACTGGTCGGGCCGCCCTTTTTAAATTAAGGTCATGGGCCTGGGCCCAGGCCCTGTCGATAGAGCTGCCGGTAGTGCTGCTATCGACTAGGGCGCTCACGGAATGTGTCTCTCGAGTGTCGAGTGTCTCCAATTGTACTTTTATTGAGACATTCCGTCCCTTCCTTCCTCATATACATAGGTGGCTTCTGCAAGTCCTCCATCCACTGCCACCTCTCCCTGGCTTGAGCGGCGGTCTCAGTCTGCTCTTCCAACTGGTGGCATAGTTGGTCAGTCACTTCCTCTCGTCGGCGAGGGTGTACCCACCCGTTGAGAACAGCTCTCGTCGCGGCGTCTCCTCGAGCAATGCGTAGCGCACGGCGTGTCCAGAGTATCCTGTGGGGTTCATAGTACATTTCTGCGATCACCTTCCTGTCGTTAGGGGTCGCGGTGAGGGAGAACGCGGGTGAGGACACCCGTTTAGGGGTCACGACCGGGATGTCGGACTGCAGGTGGGCTTCTTCGTCTTCGACTTCTTCCAACGAAACGGAGGTTGTCTTGCTTCGAGGCGGCATTTGGTCACCAGGCCGAAAAGGGCCCCTCAGCGGCACTTGGGCGCCTTCCGTCGAAGTGGTAGGGGAGGGCTCGCTGCCCTGTGTTCGGCCCTGGCCTTGGGCGCTTGTGCTCGGCGTTGTAACCCCTACGCTAGATCCATACTTATCCTCCTTCCTAACCGGGGTGGTACTCACGGAAACTCCTGGCAGATGCACACGTATTGGCTCCCCCAAGGGGTCTTCACTTTTTTCCGACGA